TTCTTCTTTGTTCTTATTCATTTCCTGGACATCAACTTCTCTCTCTTTGTTTATCTATATATATACATCTCTCGCCTAATCTCTCTCTCACACACAAGCACACTCATATCAATCTTCTTCTCTGCTACATGGAAGAGACGGGAGCTCAGGGCCTGTTCGGCCGGAAAAGGAACTCCTGCCTGCGGTCGACTTGCATTTGGTGCACGTCGCTACTTCCTCCGACTCTTCCCCGGCCACCTCCCTGGAGACGGCCCTCCCTCCTCTTGCCCGCCCACTAGCCACCGATAATCAAGAAACCCACAAGGCGCAGAAGAGAGGGAGAGAGAAAGAGATGGCAGCACTCTTTCGCATTTAAGAACCTGTCGGAGTAGGTGGCGAAGATGTGCGCCAAGTGCAACTACGCCCGTAGGCAGGATGTCCTTTACCACCCGGACAGGGACTACACCAAAGGAGGGGCTAAACCGAGGTTTTTATCCTGAGGTGGGTCCGATCGGCGCCGATGAGAGGAAGGTATACTGCTCATCCCACATGTAATTCTCTGCTTCCCAAAACTATGGGTCCAGGAAAAATGATTGAATGAAAAGTGGAGGCCTTTGTCTTAGAAAAAGATCACGAGAGATAAATAGCGAGAGAGATAGAGAGAGAGAGAGATACCTGTGTCTTTGTGGGACTTTCAGTGATGAGCTTCTTTCCTATCACTTGCGCTGTCGTCTTGCTTGATGTAGCTAAAAAAGGGGAATAAGCCGTCAGGAGAACTAAACCCACTTATGGCGGTACCCTCTTCTCTCTCTCTCTCTCTCTTGCTCTCTCTCTCACTCACTCACACACACACACACAAAGTCAGGGATCTCGATTTGGACTCTGATTTCTTCTTTCATTTATATCTAACTGATAGACAACAAAAAATTGGCAAGCAAGCATGTGGGCACTATGGTCTCCATTACACGAAACAAAAGGTAAATAATGCCGCCTTGTCCACCACTTCCCTCTTCATGGCCTTCTTTGCTGGCCTCCCCAACACCACCTACACCACCCCCTTTCCCACCTTCTTGTCCATATGGGTCGAGGACGAGGACAGTGAGGAGAACAAGATGTTGTTTTTTGCTGTCGTCTGGGGATGGGCACCGCCGGAGCACTGCCAGTTCAACGGTTGGGCCTCCGTGTGGTTGGCCCTGATGTAGCCGTTGTCACTCCGCTTCCTTGTGTTTGATGAGCAGAATGGTGGTCTTGGCGTTGACATAGCTGTCGCGATCTAAATCATTCTCCTCTTCTTCATCCTCCAATCCATCGTAGTAAGAATGCTGGTGATTGTTGATGTCCTCCTCCAACGCCTTCTGGCCATCAATCGGCACCGAGTGGGGCACGAACCATTCGGCCCTCAAGAGCAGGTGTCCAAGGTTGGGTGGATGATGAGGGCCTCGAAGGGCAGCTTGCACTGTGGATAGGTTAGGTTCTTGTCCCTGTACGATGCCCATCTCAGGGTGCTGGTGGCCCCGAAGGAGAAAGAAAGTGTGGAAAAATAAACGGCTTTGTTCTATTCATTTTCCAGTCTTTCTCTCCCAGTCTGCGTCACCTGCATCATGAGCTGGGCTTCCTACAAGGACAGGAACCCAACCTTCCCGCATTGCAAGCTACCCTTCGGATTCCTCATTATCCACCGAATCCTGGACGCCTACTCCTAAGGGCCTAGTGGTTTATGCCATTGTCGGTGCCGGTGGATGACCAAGAAGCAACTGAGGAGGACCTCAGTCAGTGTTAGTATGCTTACTGAGATGGATTGGAGGAGGAAGAAGAGGACGAGCTCGAGGAGCACTAATACGTCGCCCCCAGGTCGTCCACTCTGATCCTCAGCAGCAGGCAATGGGGTGACCATGGCCATATCAGGGCCGGCCACAAAGAGGTGGTTCGGCCGGTGAACTAGTGAGGCCTCTGACAACGCCGATTCACCGTTGGTGGCGGCAACCCGTGGCGCTTTCTCATCCTGGTTCTTATTCTTGTCCCATAAGACTAAGGATGTAGCAAAGAGGACGAGGTGCGACGGCAGTGGAGAGGCAGGCAAAGAGGGCCATGAAGCGAAAAGCGGGAGGCAAGGCTGCGGCCACAAAGCACTAGCAGTGCTTGGAGAAGCTGGGGTGAGGATAGAGGATGGATCGATTAATAATCCCTGAGTGAGGGATGATGATGGCTCACTATTTGCCTCCTCCCTCCGCTCCCTTTCCTCCTCTTTAGTGGTGGTAATGAGGCTTGTAGGTACTGTTTGGCTGAGGGAGTAGCAAAAGGGAAAGCAGCCGCTATAGTCATCGTTCTTCTGTGTTATGTTGCTCTCTGCTTTTGTCGTTGTTGTTGTTCTTCTCTGCCACATTTACCTATTGGCTCTGGTTTCGTATGTGGGTGGGCTGTTATCTTTTTTGATGCTGTTCTTCTTATTTGTTGTCTTCCATTTACTAGACATCAGCATATTTTCTTGCGTGCTTGGTCATGTTGTGATCTGTGGTTTTTCAACCACTAGAAGCTGTTTAAAAGTCAACAGAGAGAGAAACGGAGAGTGAGATTCGTAGTAAAAGGTAGAGAAGGTCATGAGACATTGATTATAAACAAAGATATCAATGAGCATAATAGTTTTAAAATTTTCTATGCACCCATTTTCTATGAATTTTTGTGCTTTCTCATTATCACTTGATTTAAAAACTTTATTCGTGAATTTAGGCAAATATCAATGTACTCTTACTTGACAGTGGAACATTTTGTCTGCTTGGTAATGGCATGCTTCCTTATTCTTCACACAATCTACAAAAATTATTGGCAAAGGCATAGCAGATCAGTACGTAATACAGCATTTCAAAAAGTTAAGAACACAATTTTATATCTGGCTTTTTCCCCTAAGGATGCATCTTTCCTCTATTTATACCATGTGTGAAATCTTCAGTCATTTACCGTCAGAATGATTGATATCACCTCAATATACTGGAAAAATAATAAAATATAATCGGCATAAGGTAACTGCTCTAATATAGGTTGGAGTCCCATTGGGTGCAATTGATACTGGGTGTCCAGTTTCGTCCTTGTTTTTTATTTTTTTAATTTTCTCATTTTACATAGTCTGCTGTCTTTTTAAGATTTATGTCCTACAGAGTAGACCAGCATAGAAAGTTATTCTACGGACGAGAAGGGCTTATTAAAAATGCATGCAATTGCGTAGTACACAATCGTCCGTGGCAGGCGAACGCGGTGCGGGCCCCATCTTTCCTCCTCCCTCCTCCTTCCCCTCCACCTTCCCCCAGCCCATCGCACTTTCGGGATAGCAGGGCGCGACTGGCTCTACGTCGACGGTCGCCCCTGTGGAGAAGGTAATGTGCTTTGAGTCTGCAAATCTTGTGATTTACTCTGTTGAAGAGCTGAGTCGCCGGGGATGGTGTTGGCGATGGGGTGAGAGCCAGGGGTCTTTCCGTTTCTTGTTTTCTTTTTTTCCGAGATCTGTTGGAGGTATCATGATTTGACAGATTCTGTATCGCTTTGTAATCCCACGGGCATGGAATGGATCTCTATTGTCAGGCCGTCCGCGTGATTGGCTATTATGTAAAATTCACAGGGTTGATGCTATTTGAGAGCTAGTCCATTACACAAGCATGATTGAGATATTAAACTCACAATTTTTAATCAATTAGAAAATAGTTTCCTTTTATTATTAGGAGTCTATTTGGGTCTCATCTATTGCTTTAACCTTTGTATCTCTCATTATAGTCTACAATTTGAATGTTGATATCAAACATTATTTTTGTAGTACCAAGACACTAAGACTTCTATTTGTCTCATTTGACTTCATTTGTAGGCAAAAAATAATAATCACTTGACATTTTCAAAAATAATAATTTTTGAACCCATGATTTGTAATTTTTTTATGACATTTTCTCATTATCACTTGAGTTTTAAGCAATAATCATTAGTCTTACATGACATTGAAACCTTTGGTTTGTTTTGTTATTTGTCATCTTAGGCATGCTTCCTTGTTCTTCAAAAAAGCTTTGGAAAATATTATCATTTTGAAATATATCATTTTGAAAAGTTAAGAAATAATAAACTTTGTTGTCCCTTATTTCCTAGTGAGCATAATTTCAACACATTTATGATCAACATGACTATTATTGACCCAAAAACACTTGAAAAATAAGAAAAAATAATCGGCATTAGATAATTACTCTAACATAGGTTTGAGTACCACACGTAGCCTATAAGAAGTAATTTGTTATGTATTCATAGCAAATAACTAATCAATATGTGAAAAATGTTTATTCCATACACTGAATATGATGACCACAAACCATGATCATTCTTGTCTCATACCAATATCATGATCAATAAAATCTTTAATATATACTTTTTCCTTTAATATAATTCAAAATGTTTCCAACATATTAGCATAAATTATTGATAATCCTAAATGTTTATTCATAACTTTCCAAACGGAGGTATTGGTGCTAGTTGATAATACACATAATCATTGAGAACCTCTATTGACAGTGCTCTTAATGTGGGGGTTTTACTTCAATATTCTAGATTTAAATTAATCTTATATTCATCATAGACATATTTTTCATGTTTTATACCATATTCTGATGTGGATGGGTGATAGCGGGGGACTTATCGTTAGTATGGTGAGTCAACCGGTCTGATTTCTTTGAGGGTATACGATTCCAATCTGGACCGCAGAGTCGTGAAGACTGATCAGAAAATGGGCGGCTGAGATTATTCAAAACCTTTAAGAGCAGATAAAATTCCTAAAGCCACAGGAATTTTTCCCGCACATTCGGGGATCTACCTTCCGCCCGCAGCGCCTATAAAACCTTCTGCTGCGTCTGATCTGCCCTCTGGTGATCATACCCATCTTGAAGCTGTTCTTGGAAGTCGTCGGTAGCGGGTGAACGCGCTGCGGGCCCCTTCTTCCCTTCTCCTCCCTCCTCCTCCCTCCTCCTCCTTCCCCCAACGCATCACGCTTTCGGCCAATGGAGGGCGCATCCAGTAGCGCTGGCGGCTCTGCGTCGGCGATCGCCCCTGTGAAGAAGGTAATGTGCTCTGACTCTACGAATCTTGTAGTTTACTCCGTTGAAGAGCTGAATCGCCGGTGATGATGTTGGCGACGGGTGAGAGCCAGGAGTCTTTCTGTTGTTTTTCTTTCTTTCCAGAGATCTGTTGGAGGTATCTTGATTTGAAAGATTTTCTAGGGTTTTCATAATTCCACGGGTATGAATTGGATCTCTGTTGTCAGGCCGTCAGCGCGATCGGGAAGGAGGAGGAGATTCATCAGTCGCCTTATCTAGAAGAGTCGGTTGGGGGTGGGATTTGCGCGATTTGCTTGGAGAAGATCGTCCTTCAGGAGACGGCTCTGGTCAAAGGTTGCGAGCACGCCTACTGGTTTGTCTTGGACATCTCTCCATTTCTCTTGTTGGTATTTAATTCCGAAACGTCCTTCAAGTGGCCTACTACTGTATCGAGATATGTTTCCTTGCGATCTCTTGTTCTTTGGATGTGACCTTTGCATACTCTTAAGATTTCGTAAGACAAGCCTATTTTTGCCCGAAGACCGACAGGATGCAGCACTCGTGGTTTTTCTCGTACGTTCACCTCCTGCGGATTCTAGTGTCCATGTGTTTTGAACTCATGGTCTAGTTTATGAGGTGGACTCTCCTGACTACCCGTCAAATGGATAATGGCATATTCTTGAACTATTTTGAATCCTTCTTGAAAGATTCTTTTGATAAATTTTACTTGAGAATAACATGAAACTTTGTGTCATGAACTGGATGAAGCTTTTTGGACTCGGATACTTTACATGCATCATCAGCGCTGCATTTGATCCCCTATTACGGATTTTTAATATGGTCCCTAATACTTAGATACATCCACAACAAGATAAATCTTGCAGAAGCACATAGAAGTTGACTAATACTTATACTTGCCTCAGTTTTTGAGTTGTTTCTTGACGTTCACTTTTTCCAGTCATTTGGAGTTCTGATGCTTATTTCAACAATCCAGTTTGGTCACGACATTTACATGTTTCGTCATCTTTTACGACGTGCCTCAGCTTGCGGTGATGTTTGGTCTGAGAATTGTGAAACTGGATTTTCTCTCTGTATATGGGGAGATACTTCTGGAATTGTTGTGAAAGTGTACCTGAATATGGATGACAAATGCCTAAGCTTGAAGAGCATCTGTCTTTATTTCTCAGCTTGAATAGGAGCTGTTAATGTTGCATAATGACTTAGTGAATGTAATGTCAATGAATTGTTACAATAGACAGATGAGGTTATGGCTGTGGTTCGTAGTCTTGTGACAATGGACATGGATCATTGATAGTATTTATTTTCCTGATTAGCAGGATGGATTTGTATTGTTGCATATTTTCAGATGCTATAGTAAAGCATCTGATGTTTGCACGACGTTGATACAAGTAATCAAATTTCTGTTGTCCTACAGTTTGGAAACATGTAGTGTATTCCATGTTTTCATAGTTTCATTGACAAAACTATTTTTTTGCCCACAGTTTGGAAGGCAAAACTATTTTTTTGGCCTGTGATGAATATCTTATTTGCTACTTGTGTTTGATTTGATACAGTACAGAAGCGATTAGAAAGTAGTTCCTATCATGAAAGATCCGTCTTGTATTTCTTTGGGCACTTAACTGGCATCTAGGACCCACTAAGCTGCAATCTAGTGCTTTAAAAGTTTATATTATTCCACTCAGTTACCACCCTTTCCGGTATTATATTGCAGATTACGGTATTTGCTACCCTTTCCATGCCCTTAATGACCTCATGGTTTCTGGTAAGGAGCTTCCACTCCCAATTTTTGGTGCTCTCGTGGGGATGTGATTGTATAACCTCAATTGTGTATATTTCGGATCCATGTCTATCATATCCTCGATGTATCAGCTTTAAGACAGAGATAGAATGGCGGGGGGTGAGAGAGATCTGTGAGCAAATGAAAAGTAGTGCATATAATGGGAGGTAAGTTTAATTGGCTTCTAACCATAAATGTTGTGGGAACAAGAGGTGATAAGTGGAAAGTGAAGTCATTATGATCTAGTGGACCTAACGCAAAGATACTTTACCGTCCTGACGCAGCCATTGTCACCACACCACCTGTTACCGTCCTGACACTTCATTTACTCGAAGTATCATTTACTCTAGGGCACTGGTACTGGTAGTAGCTTAGGTCTTCCTTCGGCACCTCGCAATTTACTTAAATAAATTTTATAAGTTAAATACTCTGTTTCAGTGACCAGTCATGGCTGTCGCCAATAAGGTAAATAGATTAGTCTTTTTTACCCTATGAACTCTCATGCTTTATTTACTCTCAAAATATCCACTTTGTTTTTTTGCATGCTGTTTTACAGCCCCATTTGCTATCCCCCCATTGCATTCATAAATTGCGTTTCTTCACAGAAGTCCTACACACAAATAATCAACTGACTCCTGCTCTTTATTTGATATTTTTAAAACTATCCATTACATTATCCAAGATGCCCGAGCATCTACAGTGCGACGAAACCGGAAGTATAGAAACCAATCTCTTTCTTCCCCTTTCAGCGTCACCTGCATCCTGAGGTGGGCGTCATACAGGGACAGGAACCCGACCTGTCCACAATGCAAGCTGCCCTTCGCATTCCTTATCATCCACCGAACTCTGGACGGCTGGTATTCATCCCCTCCCCACAACTCTCCAAATCCGACGGTGGGTTGCAGAAAGTGGCCAAAACCTAAACCCAAACCCAACTACTTCTTTTCCTTGTATGGTCCTGCAGCATTCGAGACTTCATGTTCGAAGAGAGCATCTGCCTGCTCCTGAGGGCTCAGTGGTTCGTTCCCCTGCCGGTGCCAGCGGAGGGCCAGGAGGTATCAGAGGAAGAGCTCAGCCTCTACCAGTCCGATTACTATGACGGATTGGAGGAAGAAGAGGAGGATCTCGAGGAGGATTACTACGTCGCTGCCAGGTCCTCCACTCTGCTCATCGGCAACAGGCGCTGGGGCGACAATGGCTATGTCAGGGCCGGTCGCAAGGAGGCCCGGCCGGTGAATTGGCGGTGCTCTGGCAGTGCCGATACCCCGCCTGCGGCAGCAAGCAGCGGCTCCTCATCCTCATCGTCGTCCCATAAGGGCAAGGAGGTGGTAAAGGGGGCAGCGGCGGCAGGGAGGAGAGCAAAAAGGGCCTTGAAGAGGGAAGCGGCTGACAAGGCAGCTGCCGCCAAGCACCAGCAGCGCTTGGAGAAGCTGGGGCGAGCGTAGAGGGGGGGGGGGGATGGATGGATGGATTTATGTACAGAAGTGTGTCAGGGTGAATGATGACGACGGCTCACCATTCTCTTCCTCCCTGGCTCCCCCTCCCTCTTCCTTGGTGGTAATAAGGTTTGTAAATACTGACTAACTGATTGACTGACTGACCGGGAGAAGAGGGAAGCAGCAGGCATAGTCTTCGTTACCCTGCTGCGTTACGATTCTCTTTCTTCATGTTCTTCTTTGCTATCTTGCCATGCGGACTCTGGTTTGCTATGTTGGTAGGCTGTTATCTCTGTGAATATATTCATGGGCCAGGCGTCAGCTTATTTCCTCGGGCGCCTGACGTTGCTATGTTTGTGCTCTTTGATTTTGCAGCCATCGGAAGCTATGTTAAAACTCTCTAGCGAGAGAGAGAGAGAGAGAGAGAGAGAGAGAGAGAGAGAGCGAGAGAGAGTCTTCAGGGCATTGAAGGTTGGAAGCTCGTATGACCATCCATCGTTGGAAAATTATGCCGTTCATTTAAATATTTTTACCAAGTTATTTCCTTTTACTTCGTTTCCAAACGTACTTGAATTTTTGGACTGCCTTCCAATCAAGGTAGCTTTCATAGATGGGTCGAATTAATTGAAGATTAAAGTACGCTCTTGGCCCGCGGATCAGAAGTTACCGGATGGTAATGAAGGGTGGGTCTGACCTGCCTAGCCCTTCAGGAAATTGCTCCTCTCGGGGTTGGATCGATTCGAAACCCTTAGGACCTCCGGAGGGGACTGTTTCGTGGAAATTGCTCGGTTTTTCATGGAAGAAAAGGTCTTCGGATATCTGCTGTGAAGAAAACTGATGTCGGGCTCAGGATCGTGAGACAGGGCGAAGAAGACCAATCAACCATTCCAAAAGGGGAGACGTCAGAGAGAGAGAGAAAATTGAAGCGTAGATTACGGCATAGATGGAGAAATCTGAGTGCAAGAAAAACAGCGTGGTGTAGTGTTAGTGGAGATTTGCGTCCGAACATCCGGTCATGGCCTTCTAGTGGATTCCCCGCCTGCTGACGGCCCCTTAGACTTTCCCTGCGGCGGGAGAGGCGGTGCCGTTTCCTTACCCCAGTTCCGGACACCGCCACCGCCGCCGCCGCCTCCGGCACCAGAGCCAGCACCGTCGCCGGACCCGATGCCACTGGTTCCTCCGCCTTGCAGCCCCGCCGTGGGGGGTTCCTCGCCGACGAACTCAAACGTAAGCGGCAGAGACTGAGAGCCCTGACGACGATGCCGAGACATGCCGGGCGAGAACTATCGCCGCCGTCGACGGGGAGGGTACCCGTCATTGGAGTCCTTTAATAGAGCTCGAGCTCGGTGGGAGATTTCTCCTTCCCCTCAGAAAGAAAGGTGCATTTTGGGGAGAGAGGGGAAGGCACCGCTTTTGGATCTCGCCGCCCGCATATGCTGCCATGTGGTGGCAGATGGGCGCCCCCACTCTGGTCTGCGCCCAAATAATGCTCCTCGTCGGCTTCTCCTCCTCCCTGTTTTATATCTTATCGGCGGCGCCGCCGCCTGCACTGGAGGCACATTTTTCTCGTGGGATGGTCGGTGGTGGATCTCCGCCGTGATCTGCGCTTACAACACGAGATTCTGGGCCTGACTCCCCATCGTGGGACCGTCTCAGAATTCAGTGACAGTTCGCTCAACAGCGTGTCTCTAAATTTTCTTCTTTTTAATATATCCAATGATCAAAGACTAGCGTTTTCTAATGCACGCTGATCATAGTAAAGTGAGAGTGATGCGGTCCTAGAGATTTAAACGATGGCTAAAAATGGTCAGGGACAAACTGTGATCCTCTACTCGTATTATGAGCATTTATTGATTGTTAGCATGATTATAATAATACTGATATCGATGATGATTCAACAGGAACAAATCGTGATGTTATTGCATGTTTCATGGCATATGGATACATGGCATGGTTAGACGACCTCATTGAATGATAAACACAGACATGGCATGGTTAGTCAGTTCGTTTGAGAAAGATAGTTGCTCCCTTGTTCATGGAAAATAAGAGGATTTTGTGCACTACACTGTTAGGTGTTTGAAGTGGAGCTTTGAAACCCCATGTGAGTGGGTAGGATTGCATATTTGATTGACGTAGGGAGTTTGAAGACATGCGATGGGAAGTTTATTTAGATATACGTATATGATATATACATGTCTAGAGAGAGAAAGAGAGAAAGAGAGAAAGAGAGAGAGAGAGAGAGAGAGAGAATGAAGCAGGCAAGACCCTTGATTTAACTTGCCCCTACTTTCAGTACTAAACGATTTCAAAGTGTGATGGAACCTCTTGAAATTCTATCCAAATAGGGAAGGAAGGAGAGAGGGGAAAAGAGCGAGAGAGATAGAGAGGGAGGGAGCTGCTATCAGTTTATCTCTATTACATGGCATTATATTTATAAAAGGAATGATGAACCTTAAATAATGAAACATCTTTGGCTAGTATTATATCTTGCCCGACGCGAGTCAATATGGGCTGACAGAGATGGGCCAAACTCTCACGAGTAAGCTGCCGTCAATTGAGGTTGGGCGAGAAAGCCCGCTTTAGCACATGCGCTTCACTCACAACTAAAAGAAACTTTGCCTATAACTTGAGAAACATTTCCCATTGGAGCGAAGGGAGAGGCTGGGTTTCTCGAAAGGATGTGCTGCCTTTGAAGGACAGCGATAGCTCTTAATTTCGTTTTCCACTATCAATAGTAATTTGGTCGTGAAGAACGACTTTTGATCCTCAGTTTTTGGTCGCTAAGGAGGATAGATATTTACTAGTCCTCTGAAATGGTTAATTTTAGAAATGACGCCTTCAAAGTACCAACCCGACAGAGCATGTGAATCGGCAATGTTCCATGTTTGGTCAGAGGCCAAATCTAAGTTAGATCCCTGGACGCCGAGTAGAGTACTTCACTGATAGTCTGCATAGTTTTAGCGTCATGGGCTCTTAGATACTGTGTATTTTGGTAGCAATATCCTACATCTTCCAAACACTAAAAAAATTAAACTTTGGCCTAGTTACGAGACATTAACGACACTTCATGCGCGTGATTATCACTGACTAGCAGCTGTGAATCATATGCTTAAGCTGATTTCCTCCAACCGTGGCGGCTCTATGTGTTCGGAAGCCCCGCTTAGCGCATAGATGTTACAGCGCTTTTCTTCGAGTTCATATGGGGGAAATCCGCCCACTAAGCAAAATGGATTCGGGTTATGTGGGTGGTCTTTTAGATTATTGATCGTTCAGTCAACGATGGAATACTTGTACATCTGGGTTTCCTATTAAACCACAAATATTTACCGAGTAGCTCTATGGAAAGCAATCCAACGCTAGAGCAAGCGTAGTAGGTGACGGGATCAGGCTTAATGAGTCAGAGATTTGCTCCGAAAGCAAGCGGCCGGCGTCCCATTGACGCTATGTGATCGGAATCTTTCTTTAAAAAACGGTGAAGTCTCTCAAACGGCGTAGTGGCCTCCCGCACGAGATAGATTTGTGAACGAGGCGGTGGGGCAGGTGAGAGATGCCGGATGAGTTGCAGCCTTTGGACAACAGGGAGAATGAAAAGATGCTAGAGTTCACCGTCTCTTCCATCAGCTCGATTCTACTGAATGAACTCTGCTGTGTGCTCCGATCTCTCAATGGCCAAGAAAGGTGAGCTAAGGGTATCGTGGCTGTTGAGAGAATCGAGGCTGTGGAGTTCACCAACTCTCTGCATGGCATCTGCTGCTCTTGTTCCAGCTAGAGGACGCCAGAGAGGTGAGAGAGGAAGTGCCACGAAGGAAGAGACGAGGAGGCGTGGGAACGTAGACAGGGGGGGTGCAAGCAAAATAAAGGAGTGCAGAGGCAAGAGACGTGGGAAACGAGGAAGAAAACGGAGGCAAAGGATGGTGAAAGGAAGAGGAGGGAGAAAGTAATATAAAATGAAGAGTGAGAAATTTTGGAGAGCGAGCGAGAGAGAGAGAGAGAGATCAAAGATTAGATATGCCTTTGATATGCGAGTGAGAAACTTTCTTTCTTCCCTAAAACGAAAAGAGTTAGAAAATGATTAGTGTGTAACATATAGAGGATATGATATGCCTTAAAAGGCGAAAAAGCAAACATTTTATAGTTTTAAAATTCATTTGTATCGGTGTTTTTTTTGCGTACTATTTTAAAATGAATGTGTACGTTTCAGGGCTGAAAACATGGAAACTGATAAAGAAACTAATCAAATATAAATAAAGGGAAGTCTATTCGTAAGCCAAAACTTTATTGGTTGGCTTGAAACTTTCATCTTGGTGGTTTTGTATGCCCTTGTTTGTGGGTATTTAGAGATAATACATTGTGAGGAGAAACCTCAAAGTTTTCTCTTTTTAAATGCCTCAATCATTAGTCTTCTCATACTAGAAGCAAGATTTTCATATTGGTTCGGTTCCTCACCTCTTATTTTTTAATTAGGCCACGGCCAACAAGCTTACCACTTTCCCTCAAGAAATTCATTGCACGTAATTATACCATTATATTCTTAGATTTACTAAGTAAAATTTTTAGCACTCTAACACTAGCTCCTTGATGAAAAATTCACAGCTTTGGACATGATCCATGTTTCCTTTGCACTCATAATGAAATTCTTCTTCTATCATGATTGTTTATAGTGAACAAAATTGTGAATCTTGTAGAGTTTACAATAGATAGCCCTATAAAGTGTAAGGCATGAGCTATTGAAAGTCAAAAGCACTGTTTTGTTACATCCACTACACATAGTTATAACTTTTATATAAGTGCATATTCTGTCCTTTCAAAGTGAAAATTATTCAATATTTTCTTTCCAATAATCATTCTAATATATGCTTGCAAATGTTCAGCTACCACTTCATACTATTATATCATAACCACATTCTCTTTAGTTTACTATGTAGTAAATTTTGCTACAGAAATTCAACTCAAGTTGACACTCACTAAGTTACTCCTTTATCTAAAAAGACAGTTCAAAATACAATCTAATATTTAAAATAGATAAGATCATCCTTTTTTCCCCTCCAACTCTTTTCCCAATGTTATAATTGTTGATATTTTGATAGTGGCTCATGTAAAATGCAATTGTTATTCAAAACTTTAAATTATGAATATAGTTCTTCAAGCATACTATTTGCATAAAGTCATGAAATATAGACAGACTTTGATTACCACGAATAATTTGGAAATACACATTACTTCAATGAGCATGATTTTGAAATAGGTTACATATATGATTTATTTCATTAATAGAATCATTGATTATAATCTTAAAAACAAACTCTTTCAAAAGTTGTGTAATAGATTTTTCTTCAAAAAAGGAACAAAAATAAAGAAGGACAACTTTTAATCTTGAACCTTGAATTTTATAAGGCCAAGGTAATTTTAAAGAAAAAAATTATGATTGATTAAAATTTTATTTATAATTAAATATACTATGACATTAAAATTATTATTTTGAAAGAATTTTATTTTATTTTTAACTATAAAAATTATTATTCTGACTCTTCATACCATTCAAAAGTTATAACAAAATTGATATAATAGTTTTAACATTTTACCAAGAAAATTGCTTAATTTAATTCAACTAAAAAGGAATGTCCATGAGACTACTTTCACAAATTTTAGAAATTAAGAAAATTTGATCTCAATGATAACATTCATTTCAAGTAATTTAAATTTTATCTAATTTTTAAAATTTATGACTTAATTACTAATAGGGCTTTAGCAAAAACTTAGAGATATTGTATATGACGAAGTGGAAAGCACAAGATAGCATTACATGAGGTTTGCCATAAAACAAGGATAAATGGCACTAGGTTCATATTATAAATCGAAGCATGGTATATGATTTGTGATATCAAGAATATCTGAAGACTAATACTTTGGACCATCTACATTATTTCCATTAGCCTTCATAAAATTAGGAATTCCTGGAAAAAATAAGAACCATATATGTTATTTCCATTAACCTTCATAAAAGTAACGAATTGATGTCAAAAAACTAGGCACATCTCACATCAGCCTTGCTTAGGGAGAAAATAATTAAGATATCCAAAATTGTGAATAAAACTGGAGAAGAACTATATTAAGTGGATTTGGCTTATTTAAAATGGAAAAATTGTTTATACTGGACTATTTGGAAGATTATTCATGAGACAATAATGTATGTCTCTACATTTCATTCACCTTGGCAAGAGGATGAGAAGATGAAATTATTTAAAGGAAACAGTGGACTAAAATCCAGCTCCTGGTGTCAAAAAAACACACATGGAGACAGAAAATTATTATACATCTCACGCTTAATTCTTTCTAATATGAAACCAATAAAAAGTACAGCTCATAATTTACAGAACCGTTTTGTTAAACAAAAGAACCGCATTGTTAATTTTGCAACTTGGTCGCTTAAAACGATTATAATTTACAGCTCACTTTGTTCACATAGATTCAAGTGTAGTCAGACCTCCCGTAGATGCCCTCTATAGTGTCCGCTAGTCTTAACTCCTCACAGGTCTCCATACTAGTATTCTTACACTTGAAGGGTAGTTAATTTATAACTGCAGAGTTGACACCTTGACCCAGCGCCCTGACACTGAACTTAACGAACTTTTCTAATTAAGGTTGCTTGGTCTTTTCAAAATGATATAATCAAATTTAGAGAACCCCACCTGATTCAACAAACTGATTGCAGATAAAATCCTAAGGATAATATTCCTCGCTGTTAATTAGCCCGGACCTAAGATAAAGAGGAAAAAGAGCTAAATAATAACCATTAGAAAAGTTCATGGGACTAAAAGTCGGAAGGAAATAAGTAGAATGCCTTCTTTATTAAGGACGAATTATTCCGGGACATACAAAATTCCGGCCTTCCAAGTTTCCCCTTTCGCTCATCTTGTGGCTCAATTGTGTGGCTCGTCCTGAGGGAACTTGGAGAACAAGATTGTCTGAGGATAATGATAGATAGGAACGGAGGAGCGGGACAGTGGACGCACTGGGCATGTTCGTCGTCTTCTTCGTTAGACACGGAGAAGCCGGACCCTCTTCCCCTCGACTTTGCCGCGGAGCTTTCCTGTTGCAGGCGTCGATCTCACCGTTATCTCTGGCCGCCGTTTCACATGACGGAAGGGAACATGGCCGCTCAACGACGGTCGACCAGCCGCAGTGCCCACCTCTCATCAGTGCCCCCTCCTTGTGATGATTTTTAAATTGTATAATCGCAGGGGAATATATCGAAAGCTCAACTCTGTTTGGATGATCCCGTGTGTTCTCATCCTCAGCCTGTTTCTCTTTCTGTCTCCCTCTCTCTCTCTCTCTCTCTCTCGTCGAAGAGGGAAGAGGCGGGCACCCGAAGACTCGAAAGCTTAGAAAAGCTCAGGAAGAAGGCAAGAGAAGTTAATGGCTGTGGAGACAGGAGGATAAAAAGAATTGGATGTGTCCGTGTGCGTGTGAGAGACCGAGAGAGAGAGAGAGAGAAAGAGAGAGAGAGAGGGAGGGAGGAGAGAGAGAGATAGAGAGAGGGAGGAGAGAGAGAGATAGAGAGAGGGAGGAGAGAGAGAGATAGAGAGAGGGAGGGAGGAGAGAGATAGAGAGGGAGGAGAGAGAGAGAGGGAGAGAGGAGAGAGAGAGAGAGAGAGGGGAGGAGAGAGAGAGAGAGAGAGAGAGAGAGAGAGGGAGGGGGGGAAGAGAGAGAGAGAGAGAGAGAGGGAGGGGGGGAAGAGAGAGAAAGAATGAGAGACGGTGATACCGACGAGGTGGATCAGAGGAGAGTCAAACCTTTCCTCTCTCCTCTGGCGTAGAGGGACACGAGGAGGGTGGTGGGATCGCAAGCCCGACATCACATCTTCCGCGGGACCTCGCCTGGCGAAGTGGGATCCAGTCTGGTCTGCAGCCGGAATCCTCGCTCGCCCTCGCCCACTCGGAGTTGAACACCCGGAAGAGAGTCTATCCGAATATTCTTTTTGCTATGTTCTTTAAAAAAATATCAGAATTATTACTGCAGTTCATATGAAGCTATCAAATATTTTCCTCGCCTATGCTCATTCTAAAAGCAGTAAAGATTATTACTTAGGGTTCATTTCTTAATCTTCACGTCGGTTTTTCTCAGATATTCTACCAAAAACGCTATTGTTTTACTTATAAATGAAGTGAGAGAAAGACCTAGGTCATGGTCAAAGTTTGCAACCATTGATGGCTGTCAAATAATAATCAATGAAGTGAGAGAAAGATTTGTTTATTTACCCCTGTCTATCTCCCTCTCTCTTTCTCTGCACTATATATACCTATACGTCCTCCCACGACCATCTTGTGCGAGTGTACTCGACTCTCTGGTTCCTCCTTCGTCACCCCTACCCCGTGAACATGGCCGCCATTACCCCATCCTCCCTCCTCCTCCATGCGGGGCTCCTCTCCCTCCTCCTCGCTGCCGCCACCGCCACCATCGGCGAGGGCTCCACCCTCCGCATAACGCACGCCTACGGGCCTTCCTCCCCTTTCCGCCCCCAGAAACTCTCATGGGCCGATACCCTCCTCGATATCTCCTCCAACGACGCCTCTCGCCTGCAATACCTCTCCAGCCTCGCCGTCTCCACCCGAAAGGCCGTCGCCCCCGTCGCCTCCGGCCGGCAGATCCTCCAAAGCTCCAACTACATCGTCCGCGCCGGCCTTGGAAATCCTCCGCAGGCGATGCTTATGGCGCTGGACACCAGCAACGACGCCGCATGGCTTCCCTGCCCCGCCTGCGCCGGCTGCTCCTCCTCCTCCATCATCTTCAACTCGGGCAAGTCCTCCTCCTTCTCTCCGATCCTCTGCGGCGACGTTCGCTGCCAGCAGGTGCCCAACCCCACCTGCCAGGGAACGAGGTGCTTCTTCAACATGACCTACGGGGCGTCCTCGTTCCAGGCCGCGCTCTCGCGAGATACCCTCCACATAGCCGGCGACGACTTCCCCGGCTACGCCTTCGGGTGCCTCAAGAGAGTGAGAGGCAGCTCCTTGCCGCCACAGGGGCTGCTGGGCCTTGGCCGCGGCCCTTTGTCTCTGCTCTCGCAGACCCATGAAACCTACCGCTCCACCTTCTCCTACTGCCTCCCGGGGCTCCGCTCCGGCAACTTCTCCGGCTCCCTCCGCCTCGGCCCGGCGGCGCAGCCAGTGAACATCAAGACGACGCCGCTGCTCTCCAATCCGCGACGCCCCACCTTGTACTACGTCAACATGACTGGAATCCGGGTGGGCCGCCGCCTGGCGGCCATCCCGCCGGCGGCGCTGGCGTTCGACCCGGCCACCGGAGCCGGCACCGTCTTCGACTCCGGCACCATGTTCACGCGTCTGGTGGCGCCGGCGTACGCGGCGGTGAGGGACGAGTTCCGGCGGCGGGTGGCGGCGAAGAACGTGAGCTCGCTCGGAGGATTCGACACCTGCTACGAGGGCCCCATCACGGCGCCGACCATCACCTTCCTCTTCACAGGGATGAACGTGACGCTGCCGCAGGAAAACGCGCTCATCCACAGCACCGCTGGGAACACAGTGTGCCTGGCCATGGCGGCGGCGCCCGATAATGTCAACTCCGTGCTGAATGTGATCGCCAACATGCAGCAGCAGAACCATCGCATCCTCTTCGACGTGCCAAACCGCCGCCTTGGCGTCGCCCGTGAGCTCTGCACCGTCTAGTGACCCGCGCCGGCCCCGGAGCAGCGGCGAGGGCAGTCATTAAAACGACATGAAACCGAGCACCGGAAAGGACGGCTTCACGTGACCTCCGGCGAGGTCGGCGGCAGAAGGACCCGCCCACCTCCTCTCATCAATCCGCCGATTCCTCTCCACTTCTCCTTGTTACCTTGTTCTGTAACTCTCTGTCCTCCTCTTTCCTTGTTAGTCCTGTCGTCTTCTTCCTGTGTGTCAGCGTGGCTTTGTTTGACCTTCATTTCTTCCCCCTCTGCGCTATCCATCCGCCGCTCCGCTGCTGGACTGATCTGAATATGTTTTCCATAACTACGTAGCTTCATTGAAACTCCGAATGCTCCCCAGTTCTCGCCGATCACGCGCCGAGCGGTGATTCTCCGCGTTCCCGTGGCCCGGCGGTGAGGCCATCGAGCCCCGTCGGCCGTACGGCATTGATTAGCTTCTCGCGATCCTTCCCGCGCCTGGCAAGAGACTCGAGATTGACAAATCAAGCGTGGGCTTCAGCTTTTCAATTTTTATTGTTATAACTATCATGATTATTTAAAGAAAGAGTTTTGACAAGCTTCGAGAGAACATTAAATGATCGTGCATTTTGATACGTATTCTTTTTTAACCAGTGGATATCACAATGTAATATCATATAATAGGTGCGCTAGGAGACTTTATCATGACATTCATGGACTCTATCTTTTACGCTAACTAGTCTACCTTCGATTTAGATTCCGAGAACACATTTACAAGCAGTTGTTGCTCGATTTATTCTGACTCCAAACACGGAAGTTGGTCGTCATCATATTTATATGAACCAAGCTTGAAAATTTGTCGATTGCCGACGTAAAGCCAAGTAACAGATGAGAAATGTTGCACTAAAGGACGGCACCGTGGTACCCGTGGATTCAGAGTCCCACAAATCAATATACGATCAAGATTGCGCTCGGCAGATGGTGATTCAATCCAACGGCCACCCATTTCCACACGAATGCTGCCCAATTAAGCTATGCAAACTCTGAGCAATGACGGCAGTCTACATGATCTACATCTGTGTCAAGATTGACCGTAGCTGCTCGCCACCAAGGCACTAAGGAAACGAGCTTCCCTCAGCCCTGACAGACTACTTTCCTGGAGGTACATTCTCGAAGCATTCCAATTTTGGAAAATTACGACTCTATCGATTCTCAGATGCACGAGATGCTTACTGAAAAGACGAGAAAATTTATCGTCATGTGGCAGATTCGATGATGTTGTGGGAAGGGCGCATTATGGGCCGAGGAGGCAACTCCGCATGCCCTCCCAGCCATGCGAGGAGAGCCGCGTGGGTACATGCACAAGGGAGCCCCCCGGGGACCTCCATTATCAAACCTTGCCTAGAAATACAGGGCTCCTCCTCCTACCAATATGCTCTTGGGGGGGCGTGTTTTAGGGCATCTGGGGCGGATAAGCTTCTGTGGAAGGCCCCCCCAGCCCTTGCTGCACTTAGACGGCGCGCTTAATTCATATGAGCTCATTCTTCTCGCGAGCTGTGGGCCTGCCCCCATGGCCGCATCTGTGTGGGGGGTCTCGGCATGCAGTTCGTCATCATTGCTTGTGAATGGAGGGCGGCCAAAGGAGAGTGGTGGGCTCATCATAGAGGTGGGATGTAGTAGTGTTCATGGAGTCACATGTTCAAGAGACAGCCTGATGGACCTTTTGTAAGGCACAAGAAAGTCGGGCAACTTTAGTCGAGAATGAGCACGCCCCGTGGGGACATGAGGATCATAGATTTCCCCCAAGCCTCTCTATCTAATGGAGTCTACGCATGTCCGTGAGGTAATCGAGGAGTTAGGCAAAATCTTTTATTGTTGAGGCTTTGTTGTTACTTTCAACATCTAGTAAGTGAAAGGTCAAGATATGGTTAAAAGGCTAGGGTAACGTTCACACAGACTCGGACAAACATGGAGTAATGCTCACATTTTATTTTACTCTCCTTGAACCAACAAAGTGTTGCTTACGAATAGAGAAACCAAAATTTCTAAAAATATGCACAATTGAACAAACTATATTATTGCTAAAACAATGAAAATTTGAGGGAGTAATCTCCCTCTTCACATAAACATCTGCTATCATTTATCATTTTATGATTTGGGCTAGGAGATTAAAAATGAGTTAGAAATATTTCAAGGAGAACTAGAGTAATGAAAAGTTCAGATAGCTCAAACATAAAAAAATGTACATCGGGGTGTTATTGTAAGATCTAGTAGTGTCGAATTGTACACATGATTTTTATATATAAAATAAATTACTGTACAATAAAACGTATTCTTTAATTTTAGATAGAAAAAAATGTATTTATATTTATATTTATATATGCATCAGAATGAGACTGAAAGTGTAAGAAGATAATAAATTATGGGATCAAATGTTGGAAGGAAAATTGTTAGATGAAGAACATTGGAAATGGTCAATTTTGTCTCTACAAAATGGAGAGAATGAGAGTGAGAAAGAGAGAGTGATGGGACAAAGAAGCTTGAAAATGGTCAAATCTTGGTCAATTTTGTTGATATAATAACCAACAGGTAGTTTCAATGAGGGTGCTTTAGCCATTTCAGTTTTGTGTTAATTGTTAGTAACATTTAATTTTCATTAGCTTCATTCTCTCAAATAGACATGAAACGAATGTTGAAAGCATTACCTAGCTTTGTGGAACTCAAAACTATTGAAAAAACTGCTAAAATGTTGAAAACCACAAATAAGTTTCGAAGTTAATAAAAACATATGATAAAAAAAGGAAATTTGATATTATTTTTTTGGATATATGAACACTTTAATTTTAGCAAGTTTAATTTTCAATAAAGGAGAAAATGCATTGCAAAAAAGATCACATGTATCCTCATTAATATATCAGTACATGAAGAGTTCTATTGTTGAACGTTGATAAATATCAAGCTTAGTGTTTAAATTTATAAAAGTATACTATGTAATAGTACAGTACGTCAAGAGTAAATTTTGAAAATAGCATAATATTTTAATTTTTCTATTAAGTATAAAATATTTAATGTTGCAATATAGTAAATTTTATCAAGCTCAAAATCTTAATATATGACAAAAAAATTATGAAATAGTGGTATATAGAGGTGAAAATGTTAATATATGAAAAGTTAGATTGCAAGTTAATGGAGAGTACATAAGGCTTATTCTCTCAATGCATGACATTTATGTTGCATAAGACAAATATTGGACTCAAGAGTGATACAAAAATAACTATTCATGTATTTCTCTATGAACGTTTTATGCAAATAAAGAAACTATAAGTAGCATAGCGTCTCAATACATAATATATTATATTATAAGACAGACATAACTATAAGACATCATGATATTATATTTGTCTTTACTTTTGAATCATGAAACAATTTAAAATTTTCACTAATTTATATCATTGAATAATCTCATGACATACTAAAACGCATAAAAGAGTGATTCCATTGTACTAATATGATAAAAGCTATTTATTTGAGGTTTGTACAACTAGAATGAAATAAAATGCCTCTATCATGATTGGTGAAGAATGGATGAAGCAAAGAAAGCTTTTCATGAGTAGGAGGAAGCTTAAAATTAAAAGATAAGGGACAATAGCCAAGAAAGCATTTAAAGTGTAATTGAAAAACCCAAGTGAACCTATCTTTTAGAAAACAAATTGTAGCTTGTCAATGGCTAGTTAATATTACCATGTTAATCTTAATAAAAAATAATCAAGATACTGAGGTTGCAAAAAGAACTTACAATTTAAATAAAAAATCATGTTATAAAGAACTAATGATGTCAATGGTCAGAAGGTTTAGTTCTGTTATCCTTTATATTGTTTAGTTTATGGTAACAGAACTCCATTAATAATACTAGGTGCTTGTAACCACCAAGGTACTTTTGGAGCAATGAGTTTAATACTAAAATTTTATGTCTCCTAAATCCATAAATATTGAAGCAAATTCTGGGAGCATTTGATTTCTAGAGACATTGATCTAATAAAAGTGAGCCTATGGCTTGTGTTCAGCTATTATACTATTTGCTGATAGAGAACAACATAACGTCTTTCTTTCTTGATAGTGTAGCAGGTTATCAAGGTGTAAACTATAAATCGTGTGGCTCTCTTGCTTCATGCCCTCATAAGGCCCAATTTATCTGTTGTAGGTAACTGTAGACATTTTTACATATATAAAAATGTGAAAATAATGTCTTGACGAACATTATTGTCCCATTTGAAAGGAGTATCTTCTGGTCTATGATTTCAATTGAAACAAAAATCATATTTCATTATTACTGTTCATAAAAAGCCTCATATAGATGATTTCATGGCATTACCCAAAACAAACCATAGCCATCAAACCCCGTCAAGCTTCAAAGTTGGACTTTGGAGGCCACTATAAAGAATTGGCTTTTCCCAATGTCATTTTCAAAAGAATAGGATAAGAAGCAGGTAAGCAATCTATAAATATATCTTTCAATGTCATTTAGCATGTAATTGGAATTTGATACAAACATAGAAAAATTATAACATAGACATAGCTATTCATAAGTTACTTTCTACAGTTGTTGCATTGAAATGTTGTTCAGATCAAGATTTGTAAGTGGGCAAGGTTATTTTCTTAATTTAGTGAGAACGATAGTATTTAATATTTTAACCTTTTATGTAAAGTTGGGAACAATTCACCTAGGTTAAATAATGTTTCAATAGCTGATGAAAATCTTTTAAAAATCACATTTTATTAAGGAGCTTTATTCATTTTCTCTAGTCTTGAGGTTACTTTCATCACAATGTTTTTTGTTTTTAAATTGATGGAATTCTAAGATAGAAGACGATATGTATGAATTATGTTTATCATTTTGCAAACTAAGAGGTGGCATCTAATACCACTAATCCAATTATATCGTAAGAATTCATTTAACTCATAGATATTTTTTTTGAAATTCTACTTCTGGCTATAGAATGTAATCATGTATAATTTTCTATGTGATTATAACCTCACCTCCTTCAATTCTAAAAAGAATGCTAAAATATCTATTATGAATTATGTTCATTTTTGTTGTAGATGGATAAAATTACTAAATAAAAGCTTCTTACACAATAGATAATTTATTGAAGAAAGATTTAAGGTTTATGGTTTTCTTTTCAGATTATGAGTACTCTACCCAACAACCATTAATTATTAATTTCTTCATGTCACTACTGATGTGACTTAGTCGTCATATAATAAATCACATAAATTTAAAATTTATCAAACTAAAAAATACTAATTTTTAGATATTTAGAGGTATTTTTAAACAAACATATTAATTATAATTTAATAAAAAATTGAAAAATAGTGAAAAATTTCCAAGTCTATCACAAAGATGTAATATAATATCAGGTAATATTTTAGAATTTGTTTCAAGGAATATGAGTATTTATGAATTTTAGACAAAGAAATGAAAATAAAATATATCTAAAATTCACAAAAAAATAAGGGTGTAGCTATCAAGATGACATCATTGCCCAACAAATGTAAATTAGATAGAAATAAAATTTCACTTAATGATTCTTACGTTAGTGATTACAAATGATTTAATTGATCAAATTAAGATTTGTAAAAGTTAGAATAATCGTAATTGAATGAAGAATAATTTAATATTTTTAAATTACATAAATTACTACTAAATAAAGTGAAAATTAAGTTGAAAGTAAGAAAGACAGAGTTCCAGCCTCGCGACAGTGATCAAAAGAATTCTATTTGTTCGAGAGGATCACTGAACAATGTCCACAACCTCAAAGGTTTTCTTTGAACATAGATGACTTGGGGATTCATTCGATCTCTTTTCGAAGACTAGAAAATGATGATGGAAGTTAAACTAGTTAAGAAAATAGTAAAATAGAGCTCTAATGTCACAATGACGATGCATTGGCGATGTGTCAAAATCTTGAGTATTTATAAAGATTGTTGTGCAATGCCCACAGCATCAAAGGCTATCCTTGGAAAAGGATGATATGGGTAATCTCTAAATCTTCTTGGAAAGTCTAGAGATTAATAAAATGAGTCATCGAACCATCTTTAACGGCTGCCACCTAGTGGAGTGAAAAAATAGTGATTTTGTGGCTCTCCAGTAATTGTCACATGACGGAGATGAGCTAGATAGAGGTGAGACACGTGTTAGGGAGCTTCATCCTCAAGTCTATGTAGCAAGAGGAGGCTCTTCATCGCATCAAGTATGCTCTCAAGAGATGGTGACTTGTCTCTCGACGGATCGTCCCCTTTCTTAAGACAGCTTGTTCGTCGATCAATCGAAGATGATTTACTCGATAGATTTGCGATCTTTTTATCGAGAATCATTCAATAATTTTAGTAACAATGCTCCGTGAATCATATTGATGAAATTTTTGTCAATAATTGAACGATTTTGGCAACTTAATCATTCACCAATGATCTATAGGAAAATCACGATTTAATTAAATAAAAATATGAATTTTGACTTTATAGGATTCGAACCCTTGCCGATTGTCTACATGCATGAAAGAGAGTGAAATAAGTATGTAAATACCCTTATAAAGTGATGTTATAAGGATACCTCCTTTTGATAAATAAGAGACATTTGAGGTACAAAAAATCACAAAATCATTCTGAGGAAGGTGTGATTGGGGTTTAGTCTCACATCACTTATACGTCGAATATATAGCAATATGAGATTTAAGAATCAAGGAGTCTCATTTTCATGTGTGTATGGCCACTCCTTGTCCCACGCTCACCTAGCCACTAGTGACATGAAAGAAGAGTGACACACAAGTGTCTTCTACACTCCATCCTTAGCCACTCGAGCCCCTATTTGCATTTCTACTTGATTGTGATTCTAACCCGCTTGTGGGCTCAATTGGTCAACGAGTCTCCCCTTTTTCTATCTTTTTATTTTATTTTTATTTTTTTCATTTCTCTCAAAAATAAGATTATAAAAAAATTATAATTTTGTATAAAATCATATAATTAGCTAAAAAATCATATTAACTAACTAAAAACTACTTTTCATAATTTAATATAAATATAAGTTTATTTATCATGACTTAAATTTAAAATTATATTATTTATTAATTATTAACTCATGATAATGAAGACTTATCAGCTGCATTACTGCTTAAATAAGATTAAATCTACATATCAAGCATGTTTAGGTGGCAAAAGCATGTCACATTGATCATAATCTATGAGGGCAGTATGATGCCGATAAGTGCGAGATTACTTGTCATTACCATCAAAAACTAAACACTCATAGATTGTGATTACATTCTGAATGCACAAAGACAATCTTGTTTCGCTCTTGGATATATCAAGTCATTGTAGAAAATATTGAATTGCAAGAAGATCACTCACATCAGAAGCTATGTGAGTTAGAAAGGGGTACGCATAAGGTTGGGGAGAGAGAGAGAGAGAGAAAGAGAAGAGAGAGAGGGTACAGAAAAAGGGGGACAGCTTGTCAATCGGATAACTCCCTTCAATGGATCGAAGTGGACAAAACCCTCTTAAAAACAGACCACTCCTGTGTTCTTCGTTGCTGTGGTGCCTCTCGGATTTCCTTAGACCTCACTGCTTTCCCGAGTACAGACATGAGTTTGTCTTCGAATGTAGCTGAGAGCACTTTAGTATTGTTTAAAGATCACCTTTTTTTTTTATAAAGTGATCAAGATACCTCAGTGTCTTCATGTAGGAAGATGCGTAGAGAGTAGTGAGTAGGGTTGAGCCGTTCTTCCAGTATCGCCATTACTTTCGTACGTATACATATGAGGAGATACATGTCAAGATCTCGTTCATTAAACTGGATTATTCCCTGTTTCTGGATTGTCAAGGATACTGGGCTGGAGACGATGTGGGTCTGGTTGTGAGCGATGGCTTCATCTTCACAATCTGTTCTTCGTCCACGCCCATCCTTCTGGCGGAGAGCCCAGCTTCGAAGAAGCGCGCGACGGCGTCGTCCACATAGGCCAGGCCTTCCTTGACGGTCATCGACTTGGAGATCTTCTCCTGCAACGGCCGCAGGATGTGGTCGCCGGTCATCGCGGAGGCGAGCTGCATCAGCTCCTGCTGAAATTCGCTGAGCCTCGCATCCTCCTTGGCCTCTCCTTTCCTGATGCGGAGTGGAGTGGACAGTTTCACTGCAGGAAAATGACCAAACCCAGGTGATGAATTTCTCCTTCTCCGCGTTTTAGGGTGCGAATATAAAGAACTAGGAGGAGAGTAGGCGAAGGAGAGATGCATAGTCATATTAGAGAGAGAGATACTTGGGCAATCTGTTCTGGGCTCCTTCCTCTGCAAAACGACGTCGAAGGTGCCGGCCCACTCGTCCCTCTTCGTGAGGAAAGGCGACGGGAGGTTGAAGAGCTTCTTCACCGTCGCCGGAATGGACGAGTGCTCAAACTCCGACGTCGGAAAAGGCTTCCCGTTGGGGCCATGGAGAACTGCAAAAGAGCACCAGACTCATCAGAGAACCATGCACATACTTCATCAAATCTGAGATTCTCACAGCAAGGCCTCCTACCGCTGCCTCTCTCGATCCAGGGGGAGACCAGAATAGCAGGGACCCGCACACCGAGCCGATCGAACTTGAAAAAGAAGGGCTCCGGGCCGACGACTCCATCGGGGCTGGGCACGCCGCGAACTGGCGTGGGGACGTGGTCGTAGTACCCGCCATGCTCGTCGTAGGTGACGATCAGCAGCGTCTGGTTCCACTGTGGGCTCGAGCGGAGCGCCTCGTAGACCTGCTTCACTAGCATCTGCCCCTCGTAGACGTCGTGGGAGGGGTGGTCGTCGTTGGCGGGGCGGTCCTTGGAGTCCATGTAGCGCTGCTCCACGACGGCGTAGTTCGGGAGGCGGCCGGCGGCGGCGTGGGAGAAGAAGGCCGGCTCGAAGGGGTGGAACTTGGGGAGGAACTTGAGCTTGCGGAGGTTGCGGTAGAAGAGGGTGGCGGGGATGTTCTGGTAGTAGATGCCGAAGGAGAGCCCCGCGTCGTGGATGTTCTCGAAGATGGTCCGCTGCGGGTACCCCCTCATCAGGTTGCTGCATCAGGAGGGAGGGAGAGAGAACGTGGACTTTGCGCCGTCAGCCACTGGGAAGTCAAACGGAACCGAAATGGTATTTTCCATAGTTGGTCGAGAGTTTAGTGCTCATGGCAGGCATCTTTCCTAGAATAATTAATTGGTTAAAATAGCGGTGAAAAAAAAAGGTTGAGAATAACAGCAAATCGTCAGATATAAATGGAATGTCATTCATCAAGAAGAAATTCGGACCACCCCACCCCCAGAGAAGTCAAACGTAACCAAAATGGTATTTTTTGCTCAACAGGCATCTTTCCTAGAATAGTTAATTGGTCAAAATGACGGGGTTGACATTAGTAACAAAATCGTCAGATATAAATAGAATGTCATTCATCAGAATGAAATTCGGACCTCCTTCCCATAGAGAAGTCAAACGTAACCAAAATGGCATTTTCCATATTTGCTCAACAGATTACTGGTCATGTCATGCATCTTCTGCTAGATAATTAATTGGTTAAAATGGGCGGGGTGAACACTAACAGCAAATCATTAGATGTAAGTAGAATGTCATTCACCGAAAAGAAATTCCGACGACCGTCCCCCCCCGGAAAAGTCAAACGTAATCGAAATGGTATTTTCCATATTTGCTCAACATTTTACTACTCATGTCAAGCATCTTTTCGCTGGATAAATTAATTGGTCAAAATGGTGGGTTCACATTAACAGCAGATCATCAGAATAAATAGAATGTCATATTCAGACTACCCTCCCCCGCTTCCGCGTCCACCGCCGTCGTCCCGATCCAATCTTCGAAAGCTGTGAGAACCATTGACCCGTCCACTTACTTGAGGCGGGGCCGATCCATTGGTCTACTAGCACCAGCTTTCGTCTGGGGCAGTGGAATGATGATGCACAGGAATGGAACAGGTCCCGCGACAACGGGTACTCTCTGGTAGGGCATCTCTCTCTCCTCGCTTCCCCTAATACCTTTAATATGCCTCTCTTCTTCTCTGCTTCCCTTCCTCTTCTGGTAAAATCACTACACAGTCCGTCCCTCATGCTCATCCTTCCCTCTATCTCTCTCTATCTCCCTATAGTGAGTCCATTACATCTCTCCTCTGATTGTCTGGAACTCCAGTGCTGTCCTCTTTAGTAGCACCGTTAATCCCATTCTCTCTCTCTCTCTCTCTCTCTCTCTCTCTCTCTCTCTCTCTCTCTCTCCCTCCCTTCCCTCTTCTCCCCTTCTTTAGTTGACATCGGGTCGCGCGTCTACACTGATGTTGGCTAATGGGCTTCGCTACAGGACGAATAATCCATGGACAGAAACCGGATCCGAGATCTCTGCGAATATCCAGGAACAGCAGATCGCTGAGAACCCACCGCGAGCTCTCGGCATAATCTCTGAGCCCATGAATCAGAAACTTCTTGAGAAAAATGTCGAGAGGGAGAGAGAGAGAGAGGAGAAAGTGCACGGCGAGCTCTTAGCATAATCTCTGAGCCCATGAATCAGAAACCTCGAACGAATTCGGAAACCTAGAGAAAAATGTAGAGAGAGAGAGAGAGCACGGCGAGCTCTCAGCATAATATCTGAGCCCATGAATCAGAAACTTCGAACGAATTCGGAAACCTTGAGAAAAATGTAGATAGATAGATAGATAGTGAGAGAGAGAGAGGAACATGCCTGACGAGGTTGCCGGTGGCACCGTGAGAGGTGGCGGAGTGGACGTAGAGGCGGTTCGGCTGGGTGGAGGCGGGCACTGAAGCGAACCACCGGTCACACACAGCGAACTCCTCCACAAGATCGGCATAGACGGCCACCATCTCCGGCCGAAACCCATTCATTACGTATCTCGACATGTTGGCGTTGGAGCCGCCATCTTCCACTGACCGGGCCTGTTGGGCGAACCCGTTCATGGGCGCCGGCACCGCCGAGGTGTCGTCGGAGCCGAACACCTGCTCCCTGATGGCCTGGAAGGAATGGCCCGGGTCGGGGTCAACGTCGTGTGCGCCGTCGCCGAAGAAGACCCGTGATGACTTCGGATCGCTGACGTTGACCGGGTTCCACTCCTTCCCCGTCACCCCATCGATGGCCGGATTCCTTCGCTTCATCCATCCCAGCATGTGGTCAAAGGATCGGTTCTCCATCACCACCACCACCACCGTCTGTATCGGCCCTGCAAATGAAGCCGCCCCCAACGACGAGCAGCAAAGCAGCAGGAGAATGACCACCGCTGCTTCCATTCCTCCGCCGCTTCTCCTCCCCCTCTTCTTCTTCTTCATCATCGTTTTCATCTCCCCTCCCTTCTAGCTCAGATCCTAACCAGCTAGAGAGAGAGAGATAGAGAGAGAGAAAGAGAGAGAGGGAGAGACAGAGAGAGAGGTTGTGGTGGCGGTGGGTTAATACCGACAAGAGAATGGCCGAGCCGCCCGTGACTATGGACTGGTATATAAACACAGGAACTGGCCCCGCCTTCTCCCTTTCCGTCGCCTCAAGCAGTGGAGACACTGGTACTAGCAGGCGGCGTGCCGGCTAAGTCACATGCGTCAGGAGGATATGCTTAGCCAATCTCCTACACCCGGCGTCACTCTCCCTCCATCCGTCCAACGCCTGCCCAGTGGGGCGTCTCTCTCTAGAGGATCTTGCTTAAAATGGAAGCATCAATAAATATTTTCCCGAAGAGGGATATACTGGTAGATCTAATCTTTTGTAGGTCTAATATCAGTGATTATGGTCGGATATTAAAGTTATCGCTTTTCTATCGCGATTATGATATGGCGAGCTTTTCTATGTTGCGATAAAGCCATCATGGGCAAAGTGTGAGCTTTTCCCACGAGCAAGTTCAAATTCTACGCGTGGCCTTCAGCAAAGTTGAAAAATAACAAAAAAGGCATAAAGTAAATACTTTCAGCGTATGTTAATTGAGAAGGTTTTCTCTCTCTCCTCTCCACTCCTCTCCTCTCCTCTCCGCTCCTCTCCTCTCCTCTCCTCTCCTCTCCTCTCCTCTCCGCTCCTCTCCTCTCCTCTCCTCTCCTCTCCTCTCCTCTCCGCTCCTCTCCTCTCCTCTCCTCTCCTCTCCTCTCCTCTCTCTTTCCCCCTCTTCTCTCTCTCTCTCTCTCTCTCTCTCTCTCTCTCTCTCTCTCTCTCTCTCTCTCTCTCTCTCTCTCTCACTCTCTCTCTCTCTCTCTCTCTCTCTCTCTCTCTCTCTCTCTCTCTCTCTCTCTCTCTCTCTCTCTCTCTCTCTCTCTCTCTCTCTCTCTCTCTCTTCTCCTCTCTCTCTTTCCCCCTCTTCCTCTCTCTCTCTCTCTCGCTCGCTCGCTCGCTCTATTTCTTGTTACAGCCACTGTGATCGTATGATTAACTTCTACCTTCGGTGAACTCAATAAAACATCTAGAGTTTGCGTGTGCATTTCAAGAAAAAATTAACCACACGTCGCTCCTCGCCTAGGTTAAGAAACTTAAAATGGGGTACATCAATTAACATTAAGTACTGACGACGTGCCCTACGCGGAAAGGTTCACCCGCCCCACCCCATCTCTCTCTCTCTCTTACTCTCATTTGATTATGAATCGAGAGGTTGTGGTGAGCTTCCTGATCTCGCTGACAAGAGAAGAGGACCCACCAGTTCCCCACTGCCCTTATCTTTCTTCTGAAGCCATGGGTTAGGTTGCCTCTAGGTCAAGGCAGTGGAGACCCACTGGTCCGACTCTAGATATTTCAGTCCTTTCTACCTTTGGTAGATCGTCGGTGGAGCAGCCTTCTCTTGGTAGAAACGGCTCTCGACTAGGCGTTGCCTAAGTTCACCAACTTGTAAACAATATGCGAACATACATCTACTGCAGTCCACTGATGACTGCATAATCTTATCCTTTTCTAATAATATAGATATGTTGAAATTAATATTTTCAAATATTTGAATTTTTTTTATAGGTGTGTACATTAATGGGTGACGGAAGACTCCCCTTGGAGACTGTTCTACTCATAACATTTAGATGCTTGCAAAATTGTTGCATCTGCACGTCAACTACAGTACCTGGCCTAATAATGTACACAAACCAAGTATTTTCATATTACCAATGTACCGTGTCAAGGCCAAGTCTTGTCAAGCTCGACCTGATCTTCTGCCCATCTGAAGGCATAAGCTTGACTCAAGCTTGGAGATAATTATTCAAAAATAGGCATTTTGGGTCAGAGCCCTCTGTAGGCCGTCGTCATAGGGACAGAGACAAAAGAGAGACGGAGAATGAATATAATGAGCTGACACGTAGGAGGTCATGGAAAGATAATGAAGGTAGGAAAAGGGGCTCTATGTTCCAAGGATGGGCCCACTTGAGCCCATATCAGGCCCATGTAGAGACCAATCTAGGCTGGGATCTTGGCTAACTCGGCCCACGACAGTGCTCAACTATTGGGGTACCTAGGGGAAGGGAAGCCAACGTCATGAATCAAGATGGTAAGTGCAGAAGATTATAGGGCGAATGGTCACTTCATATCTATTTTTTATTCTCTTGATACCCACAACCTGACAAATTCTAGAAGAGATGGGTTGATTTTGTCTTTAGAAAGAAATGTCTCAGAGTTTGTTGGGTTTTTTTATAAAGGTCTCAGATTTCTCGCTTGATAATGCAGGATACTCCATTGTAGATGTAACTAAGAAAAAATTCAATTAATGAGTGAAAAAATATTTATGAGAAAACATGACATAATTTTATTAAATCATATAGTTTGCTATCTTCGAGCAATAAATATGAGTAGCAATGGTGCAAGGAAGATCATAGCTTGAAGGAATTTGGACTAATCTTCCTCTCTTGCCGTAGCCCTTTAAAATCATGCCCAAGAAGAAGAAAACTATTATTATGGAGTATAACTGAAGTCCATTTTGGTTGAACCTGACCTACAATGTGGTTCAGGCCACAGCTATTTTCCATTAAATCTCCACTTCTTGGATGTAGCCAACCTTCATTCGTAGTTGAGCCTATTCTATGTCTTGTTAAAGACACTTGGTAAGCCTAGCTAAGAACCTGAGTTAGATAAATTTAGCATACATTGTAGTTAGGATTTTCTGATATTTTTAAAGCAAAATTAAGTGACATAATTGGATGTCATTCGAATCTTGTAGAACCAAGTAAGAAATTTCCTCCATGATCACAAAACTTCTATTTCACTGATATGTGTTGATATTTCCCCTGATATTTAGGTATTGAAATGAAAGTATTAGAGGTGAAGATGGCCAAAAATGAGGGTAATAGAATATACGAGTCAACCCTCAAGTAGACGCCTACGAATGACATGTTAAATAATGTTGGAGTTGACTGATCTGAAAAATTGGACGTTGCTTTCACAGGAGCTTGGCCCATGTAAAGAATCACAAGCTCTTTACAAAAGAGGAGTCCACTCTTAAGTTGACCCCATGACGTAAATAAAAAGCTCTTTACATTGGAGTCAACCCTCATGTTAACCCACAGAAAAATGTACAATTGGCCTATGAAGATATCATTGCAGTTTGGTAGCTATTTTACCAAAAATCAAAAGCCCAATGAAATGAAAATTGAGGTGTTTTCTAGTTGTTGTTGGAAGATCTCTAACTATAAAAGAACAAATAAGGAGGAACTCTCGGGCTTTCACATATCGATCTTAGAATCCTTAAAATAACCGTAAAGCTTGTAACATGTTGAGTGAGTGCCCCAGACTGATCACAACATCCTCATCCATGTAAGACAAGCTATTAGTGGCGAATTTGGTTTATTCTTATTGGTTAAGCTTGCTATTAAGGAAGACTTAAGAGGGGTTTATTTTTACTTTGAAAATTCCAACTTAGTCGTATAAGATTTATTTAGTAACTTGAGAAATCCAATTTGCATAGGTTTTTGAGAAATCTAGAGAGAAAGTACTCAGAGAGAGGTGGAGTAGGCTCAATATTGACTCAACCATTATAAAAGACTTTCATTTTCTTTTGTGGTGTGTGTTCTTATCTTATGTTGCTATTTATTTTCAACATCATAATTTTCATGTAAGCCAAAAAACCCAACAAACTTACATAATTATAACTTTATAAGCTAGGGATTGGATGAGCAGATATATGTCCAAGTATTTATAAACTTATTTCAGCTCAAAAGCCTAAGATCAATGTGTATAATCTTCATTATATTTCTAGAATATCAGATAGGCTGATTGATATGGGTTTGCTATTATACTATAACTTAATCTATTTTTTTGGCCTAAACATAGTCTTTTACAATGTGAAGGCTCAACAATGGTAGGAAATTTACAATTCTTAGTTGTTGCAATGGTTATTTGTCAATGACTACCCTATGTCTTATTCTGGTTTAGCCATTTGGTATCACCAACATAAATAGAGAAATAAAACCTGTAATGCATCAAAATAGGTTATAAATAGAAATTTATTATGAAAAATTGTAACAATATGTTATGATTCCACAATAGGGACCAAAACAATGATAGAAAAATAGTATTGACAAAAGAAAATAACTAAGAGAAACTAGAATTAAACTCCATTGAGATAGTTGAGACAACATAACCAAATGGGTTTCTAGAGGAAACCCTAGAATAGTTAGGGACGAGTTCGAGAACACCCCACTCTTCGACTAACTTCTTCCAAAAGTCACTCCATTAAGGGGCCCTAAGGGTCCTTATATCCTCCCTCATATTGGGCCCATAGCCCATTATGTGTAAAACTTCCTCTTGCATAGTTCTCAAATAATCAGCCTAGTATCAGGCCTAGCAGAATAGGGCCTAACACATTGTTTAGTTTGGAGCTACTCTTCTTATACAATAAGCCACCCCCTCCCATGGACAATTGTATGTGGGAAAATATGTAAATAAGATCTTTATTTTATTCGAAAAATTATTTTATTTATAGAGATCGAAATATTGAATTTCCGTTAATTAGAATGGTAAGTTCTCGGGCTGGGCTTTTTGGGCTTTCGGGCTCACCGAGCCCAGTCATAAGTTTTCTTTTATCCTGCAAATCTGGATTATTGGAGGAGCGTTGACTCAGTTTTGAGTCCGGGACCCGCCCAGATGAAGCATGGCCGTCCGCCGTCGAGCGCCGAGTGGCTAAGTGAGGATAAGATTCGCCGCCCGCCACGCGTCGATATGGGAGAACACGCGCCGTTGGGTGGACGGCCCTCTCTGGCTTCCCTCCCCCTAGGATTAGAATCTGCAAGAGGGGCTCACGTGGCACGAAAGCGCAAAAAGGCACCGGGCCCACGGTGACGTGGCGATTCGCTAGGGTTACTTTTATACCCTGAAAAAATGAAATATATGCAAAAGCCCCTATTATACATTCACGTCGGCGCCCCATGGCCCATCTGCGCTTGTGGAACAACTTACCCGAATGTTCGAGCGTGCATGATGACGTCAACGGTTCAAAATTAGAAAGAAAGGCCCATGAGAAATGACGTAACGTCTTTTATGCCGCTGGTCCATCATAAGCGTCGCCCAAAAAGCCGGGAAGGCCGCCGCCATACGTCGCTTATCCATTGACCAACTAGCATCCGATGACTAAATATTATCGGAAAATAATTTCATTTACATTTTCTCCAATTAACTGATTTATATATTCTTTGGGATTTAACGGGGATTTCTATTTTAATTATTATTTTTAATTTGGGTCAAATATTCAAATGGCGTACGTAGAATAAGGACAAAAGTGCCGACAGAGGGTGGGAACGGTGACGTGGCAGAATCATGGAGCTGACTGAACGGGTGGTCGAGGGGCTTATCGCGAAATTTCCAGATTATCGGGGGTAGGCTGGAAATTGTTGGCGGAGGATACGGACTCATATTTTTGTCAGGTGAGTCCAATTATTCCAAATATTTCCATTTTTATGCAACCTCGTTCTTCAAAGGCGAGCGCATCTAGCGTTGCGTCCTGGATCGAAGTGAGAGAGCGCAGAAAAAGCCAAGAAAGAGGAGAGAGAGTGGAGAGATAGAAAGAGGAGCGAGTGAGGTAAGAGAGGGAGAGAGAGAGAGAGAGAGTCCGAGGATCGTGGTTGGCTGGGGGTGGTAGAGGACAAGGCAGGGGCGCCCACCGCTGCCTGTGTCCTCCTCCCTGAGCTCCACTCCATTCCCCTCCCCGCACGACGACGAAGACGACGAGGAGCGCTGGAGGCGAGTGGCTCACATCTCTCCACTCCCCCGCCCTCTCAATCTCTCTCTCTCTATCTGTTGGCCTCTCCTCCCGGCTGTGCAGCGCGGGCGATCAGGATTATCCAGCTCTCTTGCGTTTCCTCTTCACGCGAGCCTCTCCATTTTCTGATTTATATATTAGCGCATCTCCAATCCGCTGCATATTTTATTGACATCGCGTATAAATTTTCGCTTCTCTGGTTTGTTTTTCTGTTTCGCCGACCAGAAAAAGTCTCCTCCGCTCCCACCTCGTCTCCTCCTCCTCCTCTTCCACTTCTGCTCCCTGGGGGATCCTGGTCTGCCAGAGCGGCGGTGAAGCAAGCGCGGCAGATAGGAGCGGGAGGGAGGGGAGGAAGGTGGGATGGCACAGTCCGCTGGCGCCGGCGCTGCCGCCGTTTCGGCGGCGCCAAGGGCCCTCCTGCCGACTCCTACGTCGAACTTGGACTCGGCATTCTTGTCGCGGAATCGGAGCTTGCTTCTGAGGCAGAGGAGCATCGTCGTCCATCGGCGACTTTGCGGAGCAGGACGTGGGAGCAGGTTGCTGCCATTGACGTCCCGCTCGCTCAGAGTGGCAGCTCATCAGAGAGAAGGGACCTCCTCGATCGGGAATACTGCTCAGACTGTCTCGAGTAGAGCTCGTCGTTCCAAGGTACAAAGAAACATGGATTGTCTTTCATTTGGGAGATTATAAGGGACGGATTTTTCTTAAAGTCTCCCTCTCTCTCTCTCTCTCTCTCTCTCTCTCTCTCTCTCTCTCTCTCTTTCTCTTTCTCTTCCTCTCTCTCTCTCTCTCTCTCTCTCTCTCTCTCTTTCTCTTCCTCTCTCTCTCTCTCTCTCTCTCTCTCTCTCTCTCTCCCTCTCTCTCTCTCTCTCTCTCTCTCTCTCTCTCTCTCTTTCTCTTTCTCTTTCTCTTCCTCTCTCTCTTTCTCTTTCTCTTCCTCTCTCTCTCTCTCTCTCGATCTGTTAGCCCATCAAACCGTATGCATGCGACCTCCAAAAGTAAATTCCGTTGTGTTTTTCTTTTCATATTAGTGTTTCCGGCCACTTGGGGTCCCCACTATTTACTGTGTCGGCGTAGAAGTGAGAACAAGGATCAAAGCGATGGGAATCTATTACTTGCGTTATCGGAATTGGGAGAAAACTTGAAAAGGTTTACGTGAAGGGAAGAAAGAGTAATGTGACTGGGGTTTTCCTCCGCCGATCTTCTTCATTTCTGCAAATTTTTAGAAGGGTTCTTTTTTGGGTTCATCGTAATGCACTGATTTGGTGGGTGAGTGGTGTGCTGCCTGAAGGAGTATGGAACACAGCTCTGAAGTTGAACGGGATCATTGCTGCCGGAAGTCAATCTCAGTCGTATACTTCACCCACCTACAGAATTGGAAATATGGGAAGTTATAGAAGGGATGATAAATTCTTGATGACTTGGCTTGCAGAAAAGATCTGTCGAAAGGTAAATTAGATGGCTCGATGGGCCAATCATTCATCAAGTGGATAAAAAAATATCATGGATTTCGACGAGTAAAGTCGGTTGAGATACAGAACTTGGCAGAAGTAAATTATATGCTGTTAAAGATGAAGACATGCTTCGCAGAAGTTGGAGAGTATTCACTAGCCACTATTTCTATTCAGTCAACTTGAGGCAATGAAGTCACTAGTGAATGAGTGAACGACACTTTCAAGGCATTTTAGCCATGAAAAATGCTTACAATGACTGTGAAGGGGCAATCTTCCATGGGAAACAAAAATGTATAGAACGGTTGAGGGCATTTCATTCATTTTATGATGCAACCACCAATGCAAGAAAGCCACACTATTTGGTGTTGACCATCAAGGGTCAAAACCGAGACTTCCAATTTGCGAAAATGAGTGGGTACCATTTAATTACGAATAAAAGAATATTATGATGGCAAGTTTTGGAAGGTCGATGAGACATGGTAGAAAGTTCTGATGATCACAGACGGGCATCACTAGTAACCAGAGTGAACAAATGATGTCTTTCACAATAATATTTATACTCTCCAGTAATTTTTAAGACAACTTTTCTTTTTCATTGAAGGCATAGTCGCTTATATGCATAGTAGGTGAAGAGTTGCATCTCTTGAAATAGGAAATGGCACATAAGTCAAAGAAGAGGCATTCATTGGATTAAAGTCTTCAATAAAACTTTTCTAGCATAGCAGTGTAGAAAATTTCGAGAAAGGAAACTGCCATCTGGTCAAAGGTAATGAAGTCAGACTACACAAGATATGATGTTAAATGGTGTGAGGACCAGATCGTTAGCTGTTTATTTTGCTAATGATGGGAAACATTTGTAGGGTAAATAAATTTTTCTTCAAGAAATTTTCTGTTGAAAAATGGTAAATACGTAGTTTATTGGAGGATAGATGCTGACAACGTGTAGTTTTTCACACAAACCTTGATCGAACTTGCTCTTTATGTGTCCTCAATTTGCCACCCAGTTTGATACCACGAAGAAAATGATTGGGATGGAAGAAGGGAGAAAGAAGAAGAAGAAGAAGAATGACTACACTCATAATCGTGGATGCTGGGGATTATTTAACGTAGTACTATGACCAAGGGACAAAAATGCCCCTCTCACAAGTCAGGAAGAGAGATAAACAATGAAGCGCCAGGGTTTATAAGCCTGTACCAACAATTAGGAAACCATCTAACAGGCCATTGCAGTCATTTTATGTTGTCATGAATACTTCTGAAAGGCCTGGTCCTGAAACTAGTATTCATTTCTTTTACAGGGTCTTATATAGAATAATTTGGAAAGGTTTGATAGCATGCTCCTAGAATAAAATAACTATTTGAACAAAATTCACTAATTAGTTTTTTTCCTCAATCTAGTCATTTAATATGAAGCATGTTATTGGTCCCCTTGTTCTTCAAATCAACGCAAGACCATTGCAATTTTTCATAAACTATCACACATCACGTCTTAGCAAATCAAAATATGAATGATTCAACTCAAACTAATTCAAGAGTCACAAGCCAATTAGCATCAGTTTTTATGAGTTCCAAATCAATGCTCCAAAATATCATGACGAATACTTCTCTTTCATTGAATATCAATGGCTGTTTGAGTTCAAAAATGTAAACATAAAATCCATCATTAGATCTAACGAAGGTTTGTTGCTTGTTCTTCAAAAGTTGATTCACTTTCGTGAGGAATTTGACATGCTGTTGGGAAGGGTTCAGTGAATGGATGACAAAGTTGGGCTATTACAATTGTTAGCAAGAACTGTAATTTTTCCCGCCTCTTTGTTAGGCATAATTGATTTAACTGTTAGTTTGTTATGAATTGAATCTCTAATCTCATTCTACTTAAATTATCACTGGAAATGCTTTAATTGACCCAAAAATGTGACCTTTATAATTATCAGTCCATGAAATTAAACAGAGGTTTTGCATCTTTTCCATTCGTTCAAAATAGTCCAGTTTACGTTAATAATGAAAATTTTAAAGGAGGATACCGTTGGAACTGTTTCTTTGAGTGCAATGTGATGTTCAAAATAGTATGATCTGTTCTCATAATTTAAGGTTTTTGTTTGTCAGACAACTGTTCTATTCGTAAATGCTTATATATCGAATAAAAATAATTGGTTTTATAAGTAAAGTATTATGTTCAAATTATTTTTCTGACGATTTTAGCAGAGCTAGATGCTTATTTGATATATGTTTTTTTATTCATAAATTCTCTTATAAGTGGCGATTTTATTTTTATGATAAAATTTAATTTATCTATTCTCCTAAATACTGCTTTCTTACAACATTCCTTATCTTTGATTTGAATACATCATTAGGTTGCTGACTTGAATGATATCCTGTCCGAAAGAGGAGCTTGTGGAGTTGGATTTATCGCAAACTTGAAAAATGAGCCATCACACAAGATTGTTGAGGATGCTCTTGTAGCTCTTGGCTGTATGGAACATCGGGGTGGCTGTGGAGCAGATAATGATTCTGGTGATGGAGCTGGAGTGATGACTTCAGTTCCATGGGATCTGTACAATAACTGGGCTGATAAACAAGGGCTTCCATCCTTGGACAAATATAAGACTGGAGTTGGAATGGTTTTCCTTCCGAAGAATGACAAGGCTTTGGAAGAGGCAAAAAAAGGTGATCTTATGATGGATGCTGACATTTCGTGTAGCATCAGGTCTTTATTAAATGCTTTTACGTTGCATTTTAAACTACACCATCGTATTTGATTGTTCCTCACATCTTATGGCTTATTTGATGCATTACTTCCTTTGTTTTAAGCATAGTTAGATTTTTATGCTTGCTTTTATTTGCATTTACTCGCTTTTGAAAATCTCATGTTTTTTCAGAATTAGGCTTGATATTTTGGAGCATCGATTTCTTCAATTGAGTCATATCGTTCAACATTTGACTTATCATGACATGATGCGTGATGGTTTATGAAAAATTACAAAGTGCGTGTACATTTGATGACTATTCGTTAATATGACTTTAGGTAATAAAATGGAAACATAACAGGCGGTGAAAGAACCTAATCAAATCATAGTTGATAATATTTATCTTAAAGTGAATCCACTGGCCTATCTGCCATCCCAACTTCTCATGACATACAAGTACACATAACAACACTCACGATGAAAACTTCTCATCCTCGACCATTGATTCTCTTGGCCATTCATCGTACTCTTTGTCCTCAGTCTTCGATTTTCATTCAGGTGCACTATGAGTTCATTACATAGAATCATAAAAGTTCAGATCTATAAAGTTTAAGCCATCATTCATTCTTAACAAACCCTGTACAAATCAGACAATATCTTTTGAGGGAAGTGGACCTAGTCCTTTTTGTTTTAGTGCTATATACACGAAAACCAATCATATAATGCAGGAACAGCTCTAGTCTGAACCTTATCCTCACAGTTCTACGCTTGGTCATCTTTTCCCTGCTTCGCAACTCACATCCGATGAGAACCTCATAGAAAACACGAGATATGTAGACTACATTGTAGTTCAGGTACATTTCGACTGTGTCAGGCATAATTATTTGCGTTCTGCATCAAAATAGGCACCCTGATCTGAGTTCACGTATATTCAGAATGACAAACTTCTTGTCAGTGATTTCTGATTCCATTCTTTTTGTTTTGGATTTCTATCTTTGTTTATCATTGTATCGATATTGAAAATCATGTATCCTAATTGATTAAGTCATAATTGGCTTCATATGCCATATTCAAGAAAACAAAACGCATCATGCCAGGCATAACTCAGTAGTAACTTATACATGACAAAAATGCCTCAAACTCGTAATTCTAGATTAAGCTGTTTGCAGAATTGCCGTTGCTAACCATAATAAATCATGCCAACATGGAAAAAACATATAATTATTATCATTACAAGGATGTTATCGCATCAGATCAGCACGTGTTGGAAGGCATAACTCATAAAGAAGTTGAACCATTGTATCAGAAAAAGCACGCATAATGTCTTGTAGCAGTTATAAATAAAGATGACTGCAGAATCATAATTTTCAGTCAACATTGATCATCAATATATGAAGATCATGTGAATATTCTATTTGCATTCAAATAATTGTATTTTGTGTTATCTATAAAATATTTCAAGTTAGCACCATAAAAAATGTTGAGGTAAGGATCTCCGTTATAATCACAAAATCACGTTCGTGAATTGGTTAATGTTTGGAAATTGTGGTGTGTATATTCTTCGACTGTATCTCGACTGATTGACAAATTATTTCCGTAGACATCTGATATAATCATTTTATCTGGTTTTGAAGCAAACTTATCTTTTTTGCTGTTTTGAATAATTTGCCTGGTATTAGGACAGTGAGGAGATACAAAAAGAGCAGCAACGAGGGTGTTATTTCAGTCTTAGGATAGGAGTACAATACAGCACAAGCTGTGGTGATCGCAATTGAGTACCATTTAGGGAGTAGAAGATGTTGATGGTAAGATGCATGATGTGGAATATGGGTGGAGTTTGTGAAAAAAGAATTAGGGAAGAAAATAGATAAAGGTGAGTTCAGCTCGGGGAGAGACCAGTAAAGTTTTATTCTTGTGGTAGTTATTATGTACTCTTGAATCTAGGTGTGTATGCTGGTAAGAATTATGTAGACATAAGTGTGTGAGAAGAGTGCGTGTGGGAGATATGTAGGTAGATTGGCGAGAGTAAGCCACCTTTTATTGACTGTCATTTTGAGGAAGTCCAAATGATTTATTTGGTACAATCGTGAACAAAGAATTGATTGTGTTTCCTGAGCAATAATACATACTGAGCATGTATCATCAACTGATGTGGTAAAATAAAGGAACAACCTTTGTCTGTCGCCTCTGGGATTTCTTTCTTCTCCTTTCTTGTCAATTGAGTCCCTGTAAAGAAAGAATAGGTCTTCGTTGGGGTGATGAAGCAGGAAAGGGAGCATACTGTCTATTTTTGGTATTTATATATTTTCACTCTGAATTGGCCGATCTCCTTCAAATTGGCCATTTCCGAGTTGCAAGGAAGGTAATCATGTTGAAGCCTTTTGGATGTTATATATGAATTGCCATTATTCTACAGAAAAGACATGCCCTCTTGAAAGCCTGACTATTCTATTTGTCTTTCCATTATCTGTGATATATGCGTTGGTATTAGTCTATCCTTCTGGATTGTGCATTTAAATTGGAGTACGATTCTAATGATAATTGTTTCTTCTTAGGATTGATTTGTGGACTAAATTTCTTTGGCTGACCCCGGGAACAATTTTAACAGAGTCCAATTTTCCTTTCTCCCTTTTCATAAGTCCTTTTGATATGGTGCAAAACCTGTTGTCCATTTATGCTGACATTGCACAGTAGAATAGTAGAAGTCATTCTTTCATTTAATAATACAGAGTAAGAAAAATGAGTTATATAAAAAAAGAAGAGGCCAATCTCGAAAGTTACTTCTCACTTTCCTTTCGTAATGTGTTTCATCTTGGTCCAGGTTTATTTTTCCAGGCGGTGATTTTACATATTTGGTTGACATTTTAATACCCAATCAGCAAATATTCCTGCTTGATTGAATCTGCTTATTCCATACTGTTATTATTTAGCTGTCACTTATCATGCCATTTTGTGAACTGATTGATATGGACGCAATTCATCTTCTTCTATTTCGGTCTGGAGCATCTTTTTCTTTTGCTCGTGTGAACAAGCTTATCCTTTTTTTGGTCATGGTTGGGGTCCTTGACGCTGTGGCTTGTCTTGACATCAAAGTCTTTTAAATTTAGGAACGAATATCGTCACTTGTATTTGCCAATCTTCTTAGATTATAATGGTCTCGAGACCTATCCTTAGATCCTAGTCTGCTGGTCAGTTATGAATTACCATCTTTAAACTGATTTTTAGCGCATATGCAGTACCTACTATACTTTTGTGCATCAATAAATAACAATATAAGGTTTTCTTTTTCAGTTATTGCCAACACATGTTTAAAGGAAGGTCTGGAGATTGTTGGATGGAGACCAGTTCCTGTGAATGAGTCAGTGGTTGGTTATTATGCAAAAGAAACCCTGCCTAATATTCAACAGTTATTTGTTAAGGTTTTGAAAGAGGATAATGTTGATGATCTTGAAAGAGAACTTTATATCTGTCGGAAGCTTATTGAAAGAGCGGTAACAACAGAAGAATGGAGTAACGATCTGTATTTCTGTTCGTTTTCAAATCAAACAGTAGTATACAAAGGGATGCTTCGGTCTGAAGTTTTAGGGCAGTTCTATTTGGACTTGCAAAGCGACCTATACAAGTCATCATTTGCCATTTACCATCGAAGATATAGCACAAATACTAGCCCAAGATGGCCTCTTGCACAGCCTATGAGATTGCTTGGTCACAATGGTGAAATTAATACGATACAGGTTTCTCCCCTTGATTTCAATACATGTTTATGAACTTGTATGTGTACCTCTGGTCCTGAATTTGACATATTATGAGAATATTAACTTTTTTAGGGAAACTTAAACTGGATGCAATCTCGAGAAACAACAATTAAGTCACCAGTATGGCGGGGTCGTGAAAATGAAATTCGACCTTACGGTAACCCGAAAGGATCAGACTCCGCAAATTTAGATAGTGCAGCAGAAGTAAGTTCGTTTCTTTTATTTCATCCATATCACTATCCACCTCAGGATGAATTTCATGTAGGTTCAGACCGGCGGTCTAAATGTCATATGCATTTGACATGCTAATGTGTTTATGGATTATTGAAAGCATTGATATCCACAAACATCTTTCCAAGTGCGATGTGGTCCCCAATATTGCTGCTAGTGTTCATGTTTGAAATTATGATTTATCATTCAAATTGTAAAGATGTTGTTGATTTGGTGTTAGGGCCTTGTCATCCTTGCAGAGGAAATCTTATTCTGTATCAATTTGACGAGTGCTAGTATATAGATGAATGGTCATCTCTAATGATTGAGGAAAACTCTCATTGTAATGCTGCTAATGATTTCCATTTTACCGTGCTACATTGATTTCTTAGATGGAAACCACCCTTCTGAACTTTTAAATACGATGGAAAAAATGCAATACTTTGTGTGAAACTTGTAATCTCAGTTGAAAACCTATATACATAGCTTCAATGTAAGAGAACATAATCCTTCATCTCCATGACAAGTCCGAAATACAAAAACACAATTGCATAGGTATACAATGCTAAAATAACTAGAGCTCTTACATGTCTGTATCAAAACACAAGTTGTTTCAAAACTACAACGTTGGCTATTCTTAAATGATTGTCACTTGGATATCAATTTTTTACTAGAAATTCAATAATATCCTAACTTGGAATTCACTTCTAATTCTGATGATGATGTTGATGGCCAGTTCATGGAAATTGAAAAGAAATCAATTGGGACGAAGAAGATATAAAGTGAACTCTTTCCCCAGTGATTTGGATGACAGGTTGTAATGTTCTACGTTGACAAACTGCTTCTGCCATGAATTTTGGCAGAATACTGAGGAGATCAGATGGTTCAGACAATCATTTTTTATTTGAAGAGGAAATCTTGATACAGTAGGTGTAGTCATCAATGAAGCTGATGCAATGCTTATAGCTATTTAGGAGGGGGGAAAAGCACGCTAAACACCTTAAAAAATCTTATTCATTTTCTTTCGTGTTTCGTTTCCTCCTCTTTCAGTTTAGAGTGTAGTTATAAAGGCAATGAACTATCGCATGGCACTCATAGTCTCATCACCACTCCTCTTTCCTTTGTTACCATTGAAAATTTTTAGTCAGGTTACACCCCAAGGCTCGTAGTCTGACTTATCTTCCTATTTATTATTGAAGGACTTGAACATCCTTTCCCTTGATTTTACTAGAGGACCTCTTCTGATCTTTGACAGTAATAGAGTAGTTCGGTCCTCCTATTTGCCTCTTATGAGGTCATTGCCACCCGCCACTTATCACATATGCAAGGGCACTTCCCTATTCGAGATTTTGCAGTTGGTTGGGATTTACTGTTTCGTCTGCCCAGCTCCCTCCAAAAGGTCTAGTATGCGCAGGACAACTTTCAAAGTGACGTTGATACCGATGTTTGTCATTATTCCGTAGAGGTACAACTGTCTAACTCACATAATAAACACCCCTTTACCTGAATAGACAGCGATGGCCTAAGATGTATGTCTTGGGTCCATGATGTTAGGTCTGTATGTTCAATAGTCTAATTCTCATAAATAGATTCCTACTACCAGTAGCATCTTTATGGACAAAGAGATAGAATTATTCTATGTTGAAAAGGATTGCAGAGAGAAAATTGAGAAGGATTTTGTTTCTTTGTTACGAGGATATAAAAAAATATTACGAAGCTTTTCACATCAGCTAAGGGAAAAATTGAATATATCGTAAACCTTCATAAAAATAAGCAGTAATGTGAATTTTGTGACCCAAAGTTTACTGGTATTTACATTTTATTATAAACTATTAAATATATGTCTGGTTTCCTATTGTGGCAATATTAGACTCACTTGCGATGCGTGCAGGATCCATTTTTTAAGCTTTTGCTCTTCGTGTTTAAATTTTTTTTTGCATTCTTGTGAAAGGAGCACTCTGACTGGATGTTGTTTATCAATAATGTATGCACATTTCAGTTGAAATATCAATCGTAGTTTTCTTGTAATTCAGCGAGTTAAAACAGGCTACTTTGGCACTGTGCTACTGAGAAAGGTGGCGATGTCTAATGTAACACGCCTGTTACTTTTGTGGTTTTGTTTTTCTTTTTTTCTTTTAGCTGTCTTTGAAGACTTAAAAATATGTGAAATAATTGAATATGTTATTTTATCCTGTCTTTGTTTTGCAATAAATTTTGAATCATATGCCCTTGCTCTAATAACTCGCTCGCTTTTTTCATATAGTTGTTTTATTGGGCTAATGATTGTTCAGTTTACATAGCCATTCTGTTTTGTGGTCAGTTGATGCTTAGAAGTGGCCGTAGTCCAGCAGAGGCCCTTATGATTCTTGTACCAGAGGCATATAAGAAACATCCAACACTATCGATAAAATACCCAGAGGTACATTCACAGAAAATATCCATAGATCTTAGCTGAATTTCATTGCTAATGTGCTCGTTGAGTGGTTTTATTATGCTTTTTTTTCTACTATATCGGAAACTTAAAATGTAGCCAAGTTTGCTGGATTGAAGATTAGTAACATGTATTTATTATATTGTTTGGGCTCTCAAAAGTAATTACTGTTCTGCAGGTTGTTGATTTCTATGACTATTACAAAGGCCAAATGGAGGCTTGGGATGGACCGGCATTACTCCTGTTCAGGTGAAAGGAAAATTATATTGTTGAAGTTATTATTAGGGTCACAGAATTTGATGAAAGTCAGTTGGGTGTGTCATTATGGTTGTTGTTGAGCGAGATTTGACCGATCTCAGATCAACCTGTTGACTAAATGTAAAGTCAAGTAGTCAGAAGTTATGTTTTTAGGATTGAACTGGGCTTATTTTCGGTACGATTTTCCTATCAATGGTTTCTGTTTAGAACGAAGTTGTGAGGTATTTCTTCCTGCATTTTTTGGTTTTATTGTTCGACAGCAAGGATTCTCTGGGATATTGAACAAAATGTGGAAAAGGTAAATCTCGGAGACATGGGATAGGGAGAAGATAAAAAGGGGAATAATGTAAAAAATGTGAAACTAAACTATTGGAAAAAGGGAAAACAGGATGACAGAAAAGGAAAAAATAATATAAACGAAGAAGATTTTGAAAAATCGAAGAAAGCATGACTTTGAGGTTTTCTGGATGTAGAAAATATTTATGGTCCATTTAATTCGCCAAAAGCACAAAAAATCGACACTAAGTTGAGGACTCCATTGCATGACTACTCAGAAAGTAGTATTGATGAACACGATGTTCATACAATGTACTGCAGATAGTTATCATTGTTTCTTGAACTGCGATACTTGTGGAATATGATTTTTCATAGCGTCGTAATTCGAAATAAATGATATTAAATACGACAATTCATCATTCCTTACCTCTTTCTGGTATGAATTATCTCAGTAATCGTTGTAACTTGTTCTATTTAAACGGTTTCAATGGTCGTTCTTTCCCTTGCATGGTAACTGTTGCTCTCTTCTGTTGCAGTGATGGAAAAACAGTAGGTGCATGCCTTGATAGAAATGGTCTTCGTCCTGCCCGCTATTGGCGCACTGTGGATGACTTTGTATATGTTGCATCTGAGGTACATATTTAAATATGATTTTCTATATGTTTTGTTTCCTACTTATTAACATCATTATTATTTTCATTGCATATATTTCCTAAGGAGATGCTTTAATCATGGAGGATTATTATTTCTTTCAATGAAAAAGGAAGCAAGGTCCTGGAAGTAATATGAATGAACTGGATTAGCCTGGAAGGAAAATTAATCTTTCTGAAATCATAGGGACCTTGTGGTCGTGTATTAAAGAAAGTTTGAAAGACTGTCAAGGGAAAACAATATTCTGCTGTCATTACATGCCTCGTAAAAGTTTGAATTCATGCTGAAAAATAGGAAGATAACAAATCATAAAGAAATTTCCAATGAAGAACTAATTGGATGTATCCAATCTCTATGAGGCATCACATAGTCTGACGTGAAACACAGGATAAAGCATGCTTTGTAAGCCTTCGTCTCTTTTTTCAACGTTCACATAATCATAAATCAGTTCTCTCTCTTCTCTCTCTTCTCTCTCTTCTCTCTCTTCTCTCTCTTCTCTCTCTTCTCTCTCTTCTCTCTCTCCCTCTCTCTCTCTCTCTCTCTCTCTCTCTCTCTCTCTCTCTCTCTCTCTCTCTCTCTCTCTCTCTCTCTCTCTCTCATGGTTCGGAAGTTTTTGATGGTTGTCATTCCATTCTTTCTGAAGTTTAATTCACGTTGTATTTTGTCACAGAGAATGCAAAGAATCGATATGTATATGCTTTTAGTATATAGGATACTAACATTAATGTAGTTTAGGGAACAGGTTGAAAAATGTTCTAGGTATCGTTTCGTTGCATGCCAGAATTCGGGAATTGCATGATTCCATGGTTTTCCTGTTAACAGCAGTCTTTGCAGGTGTTGCTGTGCCAGTGTCAAGGTTGAGCAGTGTAGTTTTTTCGTCTTTTGTTCCAATGCAGAGGCATGCCTGTGCCTGTACACCCATACGACAATATATATACATATATATGTGTGTGTGTGTGTGTGTTGCGTGTGTAAATCTATTTATTTGTATATTATACTCATTGCTCGGCAGTATTGGGTATGTCAATATAGCGAAAAACCAACTTGACTCTAAGTTTGGCACATCCTTTTTTGGATGAAAACTTGGATGGAAAGAAGTTTGACTGCTTGCTACTGAGCCTATTGGATGTTCGGATGATGAAATCTGAATAATTACTTCTCAGTGTGTCATCCTGACCTGTGTCCTTTTGAGTTTTGTTTCTATCTATGATATATTGATCTATCTTCCCCAGGACATTTGGTCTACCTTCCCCTTATACCATTGGTATTTGCAGATGATAAATACAGTGTCCTGGAAAAGGGGTTTTTAAGTAAACTATCTCATGTTGATCCTGCTGCTTTCTGCTTACATGGATGGCTTAAGAAATTCATTATCTTCTTTTGAAGGTCGGTGTTCTTCCCATGGATGAATCAAAAATCACAATGAAGGGTCGCCTTGGCCCAGGAATGATGATCACTGTTGACCTACAAAATGGTCAGGTCTGTAGTTTTATTTTCTTTGTAATGGTTTGTTTTTAATATTTTTCCAGGTGCAAGTTTATGCTTAGATTTGTGTTTCTAGCGGTCAATTGACCTTGTGAAAGAGCCCACTTGCAGAACTATGCAGAGAATCTTTATATTTTGTGAAATTCAAAACCTTTGCCCAACTTGTCCTTAAGTATCCTCTGGTTTTAACCTGGCAATATTTTGGTAAGAGAATCTGGCCATCTTGAGAATGTTTTTTCCTTTATTGCCAAATTTTTTAAAAGAAGTGAACTTGTTGTTTATTGGCATTGCGCATTTTTATGACTGCATTTATACGAAGGTGTGTAACTGGGTCTTGACTCACTACTTTACAAATGTAGCGTGATATTTTAAAAGCCTTGTCTTCCGACTCCTTGCTTCTTAAGGAAAACTCTCTTTGTTCATCTAGTCAGATATGTACCTTCTGTTGTCGTAGTTGATTGAAGACAGGAATGGAACATTGGACCTACCTTCCTTGAATAATAAGATAATTCACTTTTTTAAGTGAATGAAAAATATACGAAAACTGGTTATCCCATAATCGTTAGAGTTGTATTCTTTTGAACCGGTTTGTTTGCTTGTCTTTCAAAAGTTGTTGATAACTGCGTCATCTATCCTATTTTTATTTTCCTGATTGTGTATTATGCTGGCTTCTAGGTATACGAAAATACTGATGTCAAGAAGAAAGTGGCATCAGCACACCCCTATGGCAAGTGGCTGAATGAAAGTATGCGAAGCATGAAGCCTGTTAACTTCCTATCTTCACCTGTAATGGATGATGAGTTGGTTTTAAAGCACCAACAGTAAGGGTTTTACATTATCATGCTGATCCCTTTCATCAATTTCAGCATTACGATATTAAATCTATGGTGTTGATTCTCTTTTTACGTTGTCCTCTTGTGAGTTTTGGTTTCCAGTGATCATTAATGATTTTGCATACTAAAATTGATTAAGTTATTAGCTTGTTATCTTACGGATGTGCATCATTCGACTGATGGTATGTCTTGCCACGCTGGTGGAGAAACAACTGTTTGGGCACTGATGTTGTTAGCTTTCAGCATGCCTCATGTGCACGATTTCATTTTGGTGATAGAACACGTTGATGGCGACAGAAGTCTTGTTAGGAATCTTGTCCAGGCTGTATCTGTCAAAATCTTATCTTACACATTCCGAGTATTTATCCCCTTCTCGCAATTCCAACATCAAGGCAAACTTCAAGATTAAAAACATGTTGTTCTGAATCTCCCACCAAGTATAATGATTTGAACTTTGTCCCGCCCTCTCTTTCTCTAAGCACCTTCTTTCTTCCTTGCTTCCATGTATCTCAGCCTTCCTCCCAATAATTTGGTTAGCTGAAGGAAGGTAAATAAACAATCAAGTGATTAGAAGCTGTTGCTAGGGTCCGGAACCAGTGACATACTTTCGCATGACAGAAAACGTTTTGTGGGATAGAAGAGGAGTGAGCATGGGGCTTCTAGTGCTGGAGTTTCATCTATCTCTGCTTCATCATTTCAACCACTTTTGGGTTACCAGAATCTTGTGTGCTTCAGGCAGAAGGTTCTACACCTCAGTGATGCTTTTTCTTAGGCACCTCACTTTGAAATGTAATCACTCTGTTGAATCAACATCTCTATTCATGTTGTCTCTAAGAAGGCATCTGAACAGGTTGGCTTGGAATTTGATTAGATTCAGCAGTCTACTCAGTCTCAATTTATATTAGTTGCCCTGTTTTAGTTGCAAAGTATTTTGTTTGTCCACAATGAATGGGAGATGCACAACAGTTGGACTCGCATTTTGAGCTGGAAAATAAATGTTGGTACTTATGCACGCATCTAGATAGATGGATGGATAGACAGACTGAGAGGAAGGAGAGATAGATCGTATTTTTAGATTGATAAACTAGTTCATTCTGGTCATTTGTGCCTCGCTTGAGTTCCTGAAGCCTAGTTAGAGTTAGTCTTCAGTTGCCAAAACGGAAACGAATTCGTGTCTTTCTGAGAGAAGTTACGTTAGCATAGTTATTTTAAGGGCATTGGGATAACTCAGAAAATTGTATCATGGATGAAGGCCATCATACCATTCAGCATAGGGAGATAACTTTGATGTCTTTTAGAGCAGGGCCAACGAAGATATCTCCGTTGGCCCTCACAGTTCTGTTTTTCTGTAAAAGTGCATCAAGTTGTTGAGCTATTTTGCATGTACTTATGGGACTGATAGTGCTCCTTATTCCTCAGTTCGTGTCATGATTAATAGATGATTCTTCATTCTTGTAATGAATAGACTGTGTGGAAGCTATTAATCATTTCGTTTCTTTCCCCAGGGCCTTTGGTTACTCAAGTGAGGACGTTCAAATGGTTATTGAAACAATGGCTTCACAGGGGAAGGAGCCAACATTTTGTATGGGAGATGATATTCCTTTGGCTATACTTTCTCAGAAGCCTCACATGATCTATGATTATTTCAAACAACGATTTGCGCAGGTTTACACAGCTTCATGATTTTCTATGAAACTTTTTATTCAATTTGGTTATAATTTTTTTTGCATGCATCTTTCAAGTTCTGTCTTTTTAATCTTCTGGCATTTACTATTTTGAGATACGATTTGAGTTTTATTTTCCCAGAGGCTTTTCGTGTGGAAGACAAATATTAAATGTTGTTTGAGGAAGTCTCATTTTTCTAATTAAAATATTTTTACTTCTGAAAGTTATCCTGAAACTCCTTTGATTAACTTCTTTTGAAATACATAAACTTGTGCAACACATAGGTTCAGAGACTTGAGTTTGACGGAAAGTATTTCGTGTCCAAACAACTTCATGGATTATAGATTTCTATAATCTGACATGCTTATGATATTATAATGTACGATGATATGTTTTGTTCCAATATGAAATTTGTGTTAGCTTAAAATGGGTTTGCCGTAAATTCAGGGTAGGCATTGGCCCTGCAGACAAAAGGGGTGATTTTGAATCATCTTTTGACCAATTGTCTATTTTGCTGCTTGTTTTTGGGGCAATTTGAGAAGCTGCTCCTCTCTTATGATTGCCTTGGGCTTGAGGCAAGGATGTTGCTTTTGGAGTGGAATCACGAGATTCATGTCATTGTTTGGAATTTCAACAATGGTACTAAGAGTATCACAAGTTTCTTCAATAACCGTGCAAGCTTAGAATTGTGGACTACAAACCTGTAGCCGGAGGTTTTTAATGCCTATGATCATGCCTGGGGCATAGTATATTCTAAGAGATGGGCCTTTAAATGTAAATTTCAGAGAACTGAGGGAAAGAGGAGTGTTAAAATTGTTCGAACTTCTGACTTAATCAGTTGGGAAAGGACTGTTGTATATATCGGGACTTTTGGCATCACCCATCTAATGTAAGACTAATTAAAAAGCTTGCTTGTAGATAAAAACCTTTCTGATCCACGTTATGCATGAACAGGATCCATTAGTTATGCAAAGGCCTTCTATCTGACATCAGTTGACATGCAGAAAATTGATCCTGACGTAGGCTTTTTTAACTGATTCTGTATTAGGCCACGGAATCAAGACCAAGATCCCGTTGTATGGCCTGGAAAATGCAAGGCTCTACTGATGGACTAGATTGATCAATAACTGGGGAATATACCTGTGATTCGGAGCATAAAACTGTTCTTATTGACATTTTGAGTATGTCATTGACTCACAAGCTGCGGCCTTCACTCCAATACTAGATATGGGTATACCTAATTTTTCTAGAAAATATCATCTGTCATGAAATGACGTCGTGATTTTGGCAATGTCTTTACCTCTTTAAAATGCAGCCGCTCTCTATTATCCTGTGGAATTTATTCTTTTCTCTTTCATCCGGTTGTATACTTATCCACCAATACGTTATCAGGTTACAAATCCTGCTATTGATCCCCTCAGAGAAGGTTTAGTCATGTCACTGGAAGTGAATCTTGGAAAACGTGGAAATCTTCTGGAGGTTGGGCCTCAAAATGCTGAACAGGTCTGTGGCTTAATCTGTTCTTGCAAGGATACGGATGTATTTAATGTCATCGTTATAGTCATCTTTGTCTACATTTCCTGACCTTCATTTGTCTGTTGGAGAAGGTTATTCTTTCGAGTCCTGTGTTGAACGAAGGGGAGCTTGAAACATTAATGAAAGATACCGGGCTGAAGCCCCAAGTGCTGCCGACATTCTTTGATATTGGCAAAGGTATTGATGGTTCATTACAGAAGGCACTGGAAGAACTTTGTGAGGCTGCTGATGAAGCAGTTCGTAGTGGATCACAGCTGCTCGTCCTTTCTGACCGCTCTGAGGAGATAGTAAGTGGATTTTTCCTGTGTTTTGTATTTCACCGTCTACTTTCCAGGATTTATGCACAAGTATTTATCTATCCCCTTTTTTGGCCATATAACATTCTTAAGAACTGCATAACATTTTATGTTTTAAAATTATTTAACTGTATCATTCAATATTTTTTCCATCAATCAATATTATCTGATTTGTGTGACAAAAAAGTCTTCGGATCCTCGACCAAAGCATGTATCTCATTGGATCTACCGGTGGAAAGCACCATAAACTTTGAATTGCTTTTCCTGATGTAAACTAATTATTACTGACATTTCTATATTCTTTGGATATCAGTGGGCACATGGAAGTGAGTAGTGATCACAGTGAAGTTTTCATTACTTAGGAATCAATTGCTTGGATGATTTAGTTTTCTATTTTGATTTCATAGTATATGTGAAGATATGTCTGAATTGATGGGTTTTCCCCAGAATATATACATTGACACCAGAAAGGAAAAAGAAAACCAGGCACTGAAGTTATCTTGATTTCAGAAGGAGAATATCTTTCTCACAGAGGCGGTGGTCAGTTATGATGAATTCCACTTCAAGATTATGTAGGGAGGAAACTTGGATGTATCTGGGGAACATACTAGACTTTGATTGCGAATCTTTATGTTCGGAATAACACTTTGGTGGACTCACCCCAAACGGTGCTTTGTGGCATGCACTCGTGTGGTAGGTTGTTGGAACAATAGACAACTGTGCTTGTACCAAATATATAGTGAGCGACATGAGTCTGTTGTGGCATGTGGACCATCTAAGTCAACAGCTCTTCCCTCACGTGAGCAGGAAAGAACCGCTGTATATTTATTGTTTATTGGACTTATAATTTTTTTTGGAGCTTTATTTTGTGTCCAACTTATGCGGGGTCTCCTTTGGTTAGTTCGTTGTCATCACTCATTTATTTTGTGAAGTTTGGCCATCAAAAATCTGAAAGTTGTTTTTATTGAAACATTAGAAATACTATCACATAACTCCTAAATTGGAAGGAGAATAAATTGAGGACATCGAAAGTAAATTTTTCGATTTTGGTTGTGACAAATCATTTATAGTCGTAATAGATCTCAAAAACTTCATCAAGCAATGATTATCTCAGTGTGCTAGCTATAGTGAGGATCTTCCACTATTGCCGGCTAATTTTATGCTGTATTTTTGTAGCTTTACTTGTAAAGTAATAAATAGTGGACGTGGATATGGTACAGAACATTGCTAGGATGAGAAGAAGTCATTCGAAGGAGAGGGGTATTGTAAAATGGAATGAGCGTCACACTGATATGAACGACATGGAGGTAGTAGTCAATAGACAGGAAAAGAAATGACTTTGCTTCCCAATTCCATATGTTGTAGGTAAGACAAGGATTTTAGTTACTGGATACTGGTCTAGGCACATGAGGCTAATTAAAGGGGACTAGGATGTGATAGAAGTTGTTTGCCATAGGCAGCCATTGTTCTGACTGGAAATTCATGGCATCTATATTGGATGGTGGCTGCTGGTTGCATCTGGTGATGGTTGATAATGATAGCTGTTGGTGGCACGTGACCAGAAAACCCACTTCGAAAAACTTACCTAGTTGCGTGTTCTTGGAGCATCCTAAAATACAAATAATGCGGGATCTTCATGTGTTCTAGGAGAAAATTAATTATGCATTTAGTTTAGATGTGAAGACTGTTTGCTTTAAATGTGCTAAAATACACCATTTCTATTGGGCAATAGTAACATTTCTCATTCCTCTAGGGAGATATAAGCATTCCTTAATTTTAAGAACCCTTCTCTTGATCCTATTTCTTTTTCAGAGTCGATTATTTCCCTCCAAAAGAAATTTGAGAATAGAGAGAAAAAAAGTTGAAAAGAATTAACTTTCCAAATTGTGAGTTTAAATACGCCGTCTCATTGTTTAGCAAGACTTATGCATCTGTATGTATGAAATTATATGGCCATAGAAAAATGTTATCTATCTTTCCATTATTTGCAATTCAGATTAAAATGTTGTTTGAACGAGATAATCTCCTCGAAACATATATTATAAGATATTGAATTTTGAAATCATTTAGCCAAGCATAAGAAAGATTATCTACTTTGAATGCAACTGAGTGATATAGAAACTACCTGATGCCTGTCTACACTATCATCTGAGAGTATATGTATTATTTCCTGGAGGACCACTTTTGGATGATTTCAATCTTGCATAATGTTCATTCTTGATATGTAAGTAAAAGCCTTTTCGTCTATGCTTGTTTTTGTTACACCAGGAACCAACTCGTCCTGCTATTCCTATACTTCTGGCAGTTGGTGCTGTTCACCAGCATTTGATCCAAAATGGTTTGCGTATGGCAGCCTCCATTGTCGCTGACACTGCTCAGTGTTTCAGTACTCATCAATTTGCTTGCTTGATTGGATATGGAGCCAGGTCTCAGTCTTCTTCTTTGATCACTATTTTCTGTCAAACTTTCATTCCTGAGACATATTTGTTCAGAATGATACAACAAGACCAATGAATTTATGTTAGCCAGAACTAACATAAATTTCATTGGTGAAACTTATGTTCTTTATTTTTCTATTGTTTAAAATGCTATTCGTCGTTTTTTGTTTATTATACATAATCAACATTTAGGGATGGTTACTTGAAGCTAGAGTTAAATTGTTGTTATAGTCAGGAATGGTTTCCATATTGCTGTTTTATATTGAACTAATACGTTTACATCAAAATAAAAAATAAGCATAACATGACCTCCAACTTCGTGGAAAGCCATGAGCCTTGACGTCTGGTGTTATTGTTATTTCATGGATTATTGTAATAAGGATGCAACATAATGAAGTTCAGACAAATTTCTTTCCATTTAATCGTCTAGTTGTAGTCATAAATTTCAATTATTGGAAGTAGATAAAAATTACCTTCGTGAGATGATTTACGTAACTAATTAGGACAATCTTTTCTCTTACTAATTTTAAGACTGCCCAATGTCTTAATATGTAATCCCTAGTCATATCTACAAGAAACTGTGTAAAAATGGCGGTTATAAAATAATAGACCAGTGAGCTGCATGAAGGCGTTAACTAGAGAACCTGATAGGAAACCGGGTTGATAATTCCTCTGATAATATTTTAGTATGCCACTTTATTTGTAGTTCGCAACTGGAGAGTTTTGGTCTATTACAAAAAATGAGAGAGGGGGAGAAAGAGAGGTGATGCATACACGGATGGAATGTTATGTTTCTGGTCTTCTGTATGCGGTTGGAGATGCTGTGCATTGCATCCATCCATATTGTTTCTTCAGATGGAACACATTTGATCATTATATGGCTGCTCGTTTGAAGTTTATCAATGTATGATATGGTTTCTGCACCTCTGTTTATCATTATTTGTCCATTAGAGTCTCTTAGTTCTCACAGGCTTAAGCAGTTGCTAACACTTGAGAAACATTTCCAGTGCAATTTGTCCATACTTGGCATTTGAAACATGTCGGCAATGGCGGTTGAGTACAAAAACCGTTAATCTTATGAAGAACGGGAAAATGCCTACTGTGACGATGGAGCAGTGTCAGAGGAACTTTTCCAAGGTTAGGATTTGTGTGAGACTTATTTCAACAATTTTTTTTCTGTTTCACCTTTTGTCATTTTTTCTCTATTAAATATATCATAATTTTGGGGAAAGTTACCAAATTTAGTTCTTAAGAAATGTTTTGAAAATAAGCTCTCCTCACAAAAGGACTCAACAGTAAATTCTCGGTTGGATCTATCAAGATTTCAGACGATCAATGGTTCTACTTGTTCGATAATATGTTCAGAATTAGATACACCCAAAAATGGCAAAAATATTCACCTTGAAAATATGGGTGGATCCAACAGAAAGAAACAAAAAAGTAGATTCTATGCTTTTACAGTGCTACTGAAGCAAATGTATTCTCAAGCCAATCTTTTCTGATCTGTGCTTGTTGGATTTTCAGTTCTGGCATTATTGCTTTTTTTAAATACTCACATACAAATGGATGCCTTTCTGCGGCTACCGAAAGAACAGAAAGAATGGCCAATTCTTAAAATATTCGCTAAAAAATGCTACATCATTTGCACGTCACGTGTGCTAAAGAAATCACTGTTCTAGTTCTTCTTCATAGTCTGTCTACAAGATCAAAAAAGTTTCACCTTGTCTTTTATATGTCTGCTGCATATGAAATCATTTAAAGGTATCACTGTCGATGGTGTTCAGTCCTGTCTCGTGATCTTCTGTTATGAATTATGAACGCTAAAAGTTAAGGTCCGAATACACGGTCCATCTGAACTATGATAAAGTCCATCTCCAGCACAGTGAAAGTGCGAGTTTTTATACTACTAATTCATTTTCTCATCTAGTTGTCTCTCTATATGATACGTCAGTCTTTCTGTTAGTCCATGAGATATCAATCTATATGCCAATTTATTACACATTATTGAGATCATTTGTATCTTGATATTGACTGCGAGTATTAGTTGTACTCCTTCAAAACCTATGGCATCTTAATGTGTCATTTTTCTGTAAATAACTGTTCTCTTTTATCTTTATGCTTGAGGGTCAGTTTGTACCATTATTCCCTTCATTATTAACATTTGTCTCTAGTGTATAATTTTGGGCATCTGCGTGTCTGAGTTCAAGGCTTTTTTGTATAGATGTCCTGTTGTTCACACTTTACTGGGGTAATATTTTCACTTCTTTTCTTGAATATCATCAGGCTGTCAAATCTGGTCTTCTCAAAATTCTCTCAAAGATGGGTATCTCCTTGCTCTCGAGGTCTGTTACATTACCATCTTATGAAATTTTTCTCTTTCTGTTCAGACTTTTACGATATACGATGGTTATTTGTGTATATTTTCCCCCTTGCATCTGGTTATTTTGCCAGCTACTGACCAGCTTATGCTTTAATCAGTTACTGTGGAGCCCAGATATTCGAAATTTATGGCCTTGGGCATGATATCGTTGATTTTGCATTTTGTGGAAGTGTCTCGAAGATTGGTGGCCTCACCTTTGACGAGGTAATTGCCATTTTGGGGAATCTTTTGAGGAAACATTAAGTGGACCAAAACTTCATAAGTGACACTTTACGGTTTATCCATGATAGAAAAGTTTCAAGGTTGATGCATTTGCTTCAAGAATAGTATCCTGTTGCATTAGTGTCCATGTTTTCATTCGTCCAAGCTTGAAGTGGAAAAGTCATCAATCCCAGCTTTTCATCTCTTGCGTTTGAAAACCATTTTGAAAGCTACTTTTTTCTCCAGGACCTTTTTGATATCTCTGTTTCTCACAGGTTCTTGGTACGGTATGGTTTCATCTTTTTAATGATGTTATTGCCTATATTTCTTTTTTCTCTTGAAGTTGGCGAGGGAAACTCTGTCCTTTTGGGTGAAGGCCTTTTCAGAGGATACAGCAAAGAGACTGGAAAATTTCGGTTTCATTCAATTTAGACCTGGAGGTAAAAACTGTTCTAAATGCAAGTCCCACTACTATTGTATCTCTGATGATAATTTTGTACATCATTACATTTCTGCTCCATTTTATCATCCCTACATTTCACCTGTCAAAATGGTCCGTCCCTCTTTCCATGTGCGGATTCAGGTTTAAGGGGTCACAGGAAGCCTTACCAACTGTGCGAGCTGAAATTCTGTTATATGTTGTCTTTTTGTTTAAATTTTTGCCGATTTGATAATAGTTTTGCATATGTCCGTCCATCAAAGTGTCAGAATTTTCACTTACTAAGGTGATGGTGTCCCTCTCTTACAGCTCTCAAGCTGGAATATATATATCAAGATTTGTCAAGATTCTGCATTAAATAAAGATGACTTTTTGTTTTTGGACTACCAGCAAAAGAAAAAAAGAATAGACGCTGAAGGTAGAGTCGAGTTGAGTAGGACTAATAGAGGCAAAAGCTGAAACTATATAGCACCAGGCACCGGATTTGAAGCCAGCGCACTAATTACGGATATTGAAGCAAAAGTAGTCGATACTAGATTTGAAGCTAGTGTAGTAGAGGATAACATTAAAACAATTGTAACAGCTGATATTGATGTCAGAGTAGCAGACATGAGTTAAAGTTAGTGCATAACACTGTAGCCCTTGAAGCAGATGCAGTATATAAAGCTAGTGTAACAGAGGTTAGGCATATTTATTGATATTTAACAGTTGTTGTCTTTAGCATTTTTGTCATCAATTTAGCAAACTGATATTTTCTTTTGAAAAATCGTGTGGAAAGAAAAATGGACATTGTACTTGTGCTTCTGTATTATGTGCCTACTATGAAACGTACCTAATCGCTATGGTTTACCTCTTCATCCATCAACCTTGATAACACACTGATTGTGGCATTTTTTTCATGCGTTCATATTTGCTTAGTTGGAAATGCATTTTTCACGGAATCATGCAATATTTTTTGGCCTCTGTTTTATTCACCAGGTGAGTATCATGGAAATAACCCTCAGATGTCAAAGCTGCTTCACAAAGCAGTTCGTCAAAAGAGTGAAAGTGCCTATGCAGTCTACCAGCAGCATTTAGCTAGTCGTCCTGTTAGTGTAAGTTCATCGTTCACTTGTCAAATTTGCATACCCAACAATATCTAGTTGTCAACGTTCTTGATTGATTATATGTTGTGTTCAGTAGAGTACGTTTCTATAACAAGTTTGACTACCTATGATAGGTTCTCAGAGATCTTCTTGAATTCAAGAGTGATCGAGCACCAATTCCTGTTGGGAAGGTTGAACCCGCCTCTTCAATAGTTCAGCGTTTCTGTACTGGGGGGATGTCTTTGGGTGCCATATCAAGGGAGACCCATGAGGCTATTGCTATAGCAATGAACAGATTAGGTGGAAAGTCAAATTCTGGAGAGGGAGGGGAGGTGAGTATATTTTATTAAGTTTATATGGTATCATAGACAATCTATTATTGATGAAGTCCTTAAGTAAAATACCGAGTTTGTTTAATTTAGGACCCTATCCGTTGGAATCCACTGACTGATGTCACTGATGGGTACTCCCCAACCCTTCCACATCTCAAAGGCCTTCAAAATGGGGACACTGCTACAAGCGCAATCAAACAGGTCCGTTTTTCTGCTTTTTTCTTTGATATTTCTTTATCTTCTGTTCCGGGTGGAGTTGCATTTTTTTGTTATTTGAATGAGTATAACGGCCAAAAGTAAACTTTGTTGCACGTATTTCGATAATCTTTTTGCGGTTAATTTCAGGAGTAACTATCCCCGAACCAGGCATGTGAAAACTCGGCCTCAATTTAAATTTTCGGAGTAAACTTAGAAGTGGTCCAGAGCCTCAACCGGCCTAGGTTATTAGTCCCAAGCCACCAGAGTTTTTTTTATCGTGTGCAATTAGGCCTGGTTTGACTAGTAGGAGATTCGAGGAAAGGGCAAATAATGAGGATGGTGAAAGTTATCAGGTTGATAAGCTGGAACTGGGTCAAGATGAGTGTGATAACCCAGTGGAGAAGCAGGAAGATGGGAGATCAGGGATGACACAGAGGAGAGAGAGATGTGTCTTAGTGAGAGTAGGTTGAGGACGAAGTCTGGAAGAGGAGGGAGAATTGAAGCCGGGAAGAAGGGTTGGAGGAGAAGGGAATTTTGTAAGACGGAATTTGAACGAAATCGGGGACTGGGAGTGGGGATATGCAAAACTATGCAAATGTTTCGCCCCCAACTCTGCTAGGCCTGGTGAATGTCACATTCAAAGTTTTTGTGGTTTATCGCTCTGCTTCTTTTTTCTAGAAGGTTTTCACTGATGTGATTATAAATTAACTCTTACTGTTTGACTTCTTACTTTTGCTTCTTTACTCCGGTACCCTCCTTCAATGCTTCTGCATTTTCATGTCATTCTTTTTGATTTCTTATGATTTCCTTCTTCTTTCATTTTTCTGAAGAAAATTCCCTGATTTTTAATGATCTTTCAACTAATGTTTATTTGGTTACTTTTTTTTTCTGTTATCCTGACATCTAAATGGTTTATGTTCGTGTACAGTTTCGCCTCTTTTATTTTCAGTTTAACACTCACTCAAGATAACTATTCCTTTTCCTAAAGGGGGCAATCGATAGTTTCAAATTAATCTTCCCCATGTTATGACCTCCATAGCAGCAACTGATCAGTCCTTTATGGCATTAAAATTCTTAGTTGTTTATCTTTTCAGGTGGCTTCAGGGCGTTTTGGTGTCACCCCGACATTTTTGGTAAATGCTGATCAGTTGGAGATCAAGATTGCTCAAGGTGCCAAGCCTGGGGAAGGTGGTCAACTCCCTGGGAAAAAAGTTAGCGCATACATTGCAAGACTAAGGAATTCTAAACCTGGGGTACCGCTTATCTCACCACCTCCCCATCATGATATTTATTCTATTGAAGATCTGGCTCAGCTGATCTATGACCTTCACCAGGTAACCTTATATTTTAGTCAAACTTTGATGTTCTTCAGTAGACGTGTTGTCAATCATCATATTTCTGTAGGCAAACTGTTCAACACGGCTTTTCTTTGTTCCAAAACAAATATATAGCAATTGCTAATTCCTGCCTGGTGAATTAGGTCAATCCCAAGGCTAAAGTATCTGTGAAGCTTGTGGCTGAAGCTGGTATTGGAACAGTAGCCTCTGGCGTGGCCAAGGGCAACGCTGATATAATACAGGTAGGAATCTCCACCTTCGGTTTAAGTTGATTTTTTTTACTTTTTATCTTTCATCATGCATTTTTTGTAGTCATGAAGCCATAAGGTTTTTGGTCATTTGTTTGTCATCCTTCCTTCAGATCACACCTCAAAGTTATCTCCTAAAATTACAGATGTGTATTAAACATCGTTATTTTCAGTAATTTCATCAATGTCATCAAGGCCACATTCAGGGGCCTCTTGAATCCTGAATCAATCAGAACTTTCACCTTTGATCATCGGGATCTGATATATGGGAATAGAACCTCATTCCAATTGCCAAGACATGTGATTTGTTATTCCTGGGACTATGTTTTTTAATTTACCAGTTCATGATATTCATATTTGCAATATTAGTTTTCTGGGCAAAAGTTCATATGGGCGTACGCTTTTTTTATTGTGTAGAGATTATTTTCTTCGTAAGCCAAGATGCTATGTACCCTATCATGCTCCTGTGTGAAGTTGAGAGTCACAGTTCCTCCCGGTTGCTCGTAAATATTGTAGTTCCATCCTTAGTTCTGTTTCATGGATTTAACTATTAGTCATATCATTAAGTTTTGTGGCCAATATTTTATCGTTGAAATTCGGACTTGTGTGGACTTGTTTCGATTAGGTTCTTGAGTGTAAAATGATTGATAATTCGTTGACTATTTGCAACTTGTTTTACATCATACTTGTTGATCAGGCAATTCCGATCATTCTTGACACAATTTTTAGAATTATTCTTGTGAAGTCCTGGTCCTGCCTATCTTCTTTGGTTTCTAAGGTTTTTGGGCATAACTGATGTTCCTGAGTCTGCAAAAATTTTCTTGTGAGTGGTCATATTCTTAAATGTATACAGACTCACAACATAGATAATCGTTTCCATTTTCATGTTACAATTTACATTGACAATGATGATAGACATTATTTGCAACAGGTAAAAATTAATTAGTTCTTTTTGCACGTATTTCTGATGACTCGACCTTGAAATCCCTTTTTCTGATAATAGCCTGTTTTATGACTTTATCCTTGTTAGTGACTCTCCGTCAGTCTAGGTTGGCAGTAGGTTCTTTGAATTCTTGATGTATTCAATTGAACAGAAACTATACTGTCTGGTCTTTTGCTATTACTGTCAAGGTCGCAACTGCTGTCTGATGCGTAACGAATAATTAGATTATTCGATGACACGTGGAATAATTTGCTAAAAAGGATGTCACGCTGAGAGCTTCTCCCTGTGGTATAACAGATATCAGGACACGACGGAGGTACTGGAGCAAGTCCTGTGAGTTCCATTAAGCATGCTGGTGGTCCATGGGAGCTTGGGCTTGCCGAAAGTCATCAGGTTTCCTTATAAAGTTCTTTCTGGTGTAGTATTGTCTTATTTTAATTAATTTCAAAACATTTTCCATGACCAAAATCAATGTCTTCCGCAGACACTAATTCAAAATGGGCTGAGGGAAAGGGTCCTTCTTAGAGTTGATGGTGGATTTAAGAGTGGAGTTGATGTTCTGATGGCTGCATCAATGGGTGCCGATGAGTTTGGCTTTGGTTCTGTGGCAATGATTGCCACGGGGTGTGTGATGGCACGCATCTGCCACACAAACAACTGCCCTGTTGGAGTTGCCAGTCAGGTATTTCTTGCTGCATTTTTCTAGTTTCTCACACGTCTGTCTCTTCTGCTGATTACGTAGCCCTAATCCACTACACCTGCAGAGAGAAGAGCTTCGTGCCCGTTTTCCTGGTGTCCCCGGGGACCTTGTCAATTACTTCTTGTACGTTGCCGAGGAGGTAATCTATCTTAGTCGTAAAATGGGTGGAGCCCACCGTTCCAGTAATTCATTGGGACTTTCAAAACTTTGCTCTGATCTCCGAAGTTTTTGTCAATTCCCTGAACTACACATTTAGGTTCATTTAAAATATAAATAGAAATTAGTTGATAAACGCTAAATATTGACCAGGTGCGTGGGATATTAGCTCAATTGGGCTACGAGAAGATGGACGATGTAATCGGGCGCACAGATCTATTAAGGCCAAGGCATGTCTCCCTGATGAAGACTCAACAGATCAATCTCAGTTACCTCTTATCTGTACGTATTCTAGAGCTATTCTTTTGAATTTTCTGTCCTAGAGTTGTGAGTTTCTACCATGCTGGACTTAGCCACTGCAATTTCGTGTACTATCTGTGTCCTTTGTTTTCAGAATGTCGGCCTACCCAAATGGAGCAGCACTGTCATAAGGAATCAGCCAGTTCACACTAATGGTCCAGTTCTAGATGACGTCCTGCTTTCTGATCCTGAGGTAGAAATACTCATCTTCTTTACAGATAAAACAACCGACTCTGTTACTGATAAAGCAGTTGAACTGTTTGAATTTTCCAATGAATGCCTCGTGCTCAATTTTACGAGCCCTTTCATATATCTGGGCTACAAACGTCTGTCCACATTTTCCGAAATATAAAGATTATTTTATGTAGATTACGGAGGCAATTGAGAAGGAGAAGGTGGTCAATAAAACCATCAAAATCTACAACATTGACCGTGCAGTCTGCGGTCGGATAGCTGGTGTAATTGCGAAGAAATATGGGGACACAGGGTTTGCAGGACAACTGAACATTACGTGAGTTGTTTCCTTCTTAAACACTTTGGCTGGACAGCAGAACAACCGATTTGTGATTGTATTCGGACTTTTTTTTTTCTCGTTGCGTTCAGATTTATGGGCAGTGCTGGGCAGTCTTTTGGCTGCTTCTTGACCCCTGGGATGAACATCCGACTGGTGGGAGAGGCTAATGACTATGTCGGAAAGGTACCAAGATTCAGACACCCTTCCTATACCCACTCCCACCCTTTCTAATACGGTCAACTGACGCTGAAAATCTTCCAACCAGGGCATGGCTGGTGGAGAGCTGGTGCTGACTCCACCTGAGAACTTTGGTTTCTGTCCAGAAGAGGCGACCATAGTTGGGAACACTTGCCTCTACGGTGCAACTGGCGGTCAGCTCTTTGTGAGGGGTAAAGCAGGGGAGCGGTTTGCTGTCAGAAACTCTCTCACCGAAGCAGTAGTCGAGGGCACTGGGGATCACTGCTGCGAATATATGACCGGCGGCTGTGTGGTTATTCTTGGAAAGTGGGTATCTCTTTCCATTTTCGCCTTATTGCTAGGTACTAGAATTCCAGCTCGAAAGATTCATGCTTGCCTTTTCTTATCACAGAGTGGGAAGAAACGTGGCCGCTGGTATGACTGGTGGTTTGGCCTACATCCTCGACGAGGATGACACGCTTCTTCCCAAGGTTCGTGCCAATGATTCTCTGACCTATTTATCTGATATAAATGATCTTTCTTTACGAGGAGATGAGGAGTTTTGTGATTACTTGACACCATCTGATCCCAAAATTAAGTATATAACATGCTTTCCCACTATCCTCATGTTGCTATAATTTCTACAACCATGAGGGGACCAATTTCAGAATAAGTGCTAAAAGAGTAGAGATAAATTGCAAATTAATTTCTCGTCTGGTTCAGTGGAAATCAAAGTTCTTATTATTAATCCATGATCGAGAATAAGTGTGATTTTTTGTGTGTGTGTGTATTCTCCTGTTCGCTCCTTGTGGTATGCTCTCCTATCCCTGACTATTTGTCCATGCAACAGGTGAACAGGGAGATTGTCAGGATGCAGAGAGTCAACGCGCCAGTGGGACAGATGCAGCTGAAGAGCTTGATTGAAGCCCATGTTGTAAGAATCTTCACTTTACAACTCTCTCCATGATCACAGCAGTGAGGCAAAACCTGAGGACTACTTCCTCTTCCCTCTTCCTTCCCCCCTTCCATCGTAGGAGAAAACCGGGAGCACAAAAGGTGCCACCATATTGAGGGAGTGGGAGGCGTATCTCCCTCTCTTCTGGCAGCTTGTGCCGCCCAGCGAAGAAGACACCCCCGAAGCCAGTGCGGAGATCCAGAGAGTGCCCACCAAAGAGATGCAGTCCGCTTGAAATGATCCTTCCCAAAAAAGGAAAAGGTGGCAGGCAGATCATCCCCCCACTACAACGTCGATTCCCAAAAATGGAAACTCTGGCTGCCGCCATCTCCGGCGGCTTAGCCATGTACAGCCCTGGTTCCAGGAATTCTGGGCAAATAAATTGGCTTCTCCGCAGGTGTTTCTACTCCACCAGGCAGGCCCGTCCGCTCCCTCCATGGAATGGCAGCAGCTGGTATCAAGAGGCAGAGCTTCCTTCTCACCATCTAGTGTATAGATCCTTCTAAGGTCATACTGGTTGGTGTTCTTCATTTATTTCACAATCTCTGGACACATTTTAATCCTCTAAGCCATGCCAATAAATATAAATTCGGGCAATGTTTTCTTTTTTCTTTTCTCCCCCCAACCCCTCATCTATAGATGATTGCCTCCAATTTTATCCTTGTAACTGCAAGTAAGAAGACCATTTTGGATAACGATGATGATGATTACACCCCCTCATCCATAGATGGCTGCCTCCATAGATGATAATGATGATGATGATTGTCCCCCCTCATTCATAGATGACTACCTCCATATATGATGATGAAGATGATTGTCCCCCCTCATCCATAGATGATGATGATGATGATGATGATTGTTCCCCCTCATCCATAGATAATTGCATCCATAGATGATGATGATGATGATGATGATTGTACCCCCTCATCCATAGATGATTGCATCCATAGATGATGATGATGATGATCACTTTGATTTTGTCTTGAATGTTGCTAGTTCTTTGAGGAACATGATTCACACCCGGAGTTCATCACCTTAAGTGGTTCAAATCTCTTCACCCTACTCCACTTAATTCAATCTAAAGGCATTCAGTAATGATGATGTTACACTACATGGTTCTTTGAGTAACTTAGTATGATCTGCCATCTTTGGAGTTCAGATCTAAAGGCAATGAGTAATGCAATTTTCCCAACAAAAACTCAGTAGTTCGTGATGTGAGTCAGCCAGCCACTCCAGTTCATAACCAAAGTACGGCCACGTATTTGTCACCGAAGACGTATCTTTTATGTTGCAGGTTTCTATTAATGTGTGTATGCCAGAATGTGGGTAGCGTTAGAAAACAGATTCCATGTGAAGCTGTATATGTTAGCAACCATGCTCAATGACCGTTGGAGTGTAGAACTGAGGAAGAGCCCCACACGCCGTGCAAAAGTCAACTTAGATTTACCTTTAATCTCAATGTAGACTAGGAAAACTAGATATTTACGACTATTCTCCTCAATGATCTGCAAGAGGTGACCACTAGTCGTCAACTTCATTGATCAAAATAGTTATTAGTACCTTTCAAAATTATATCTTATAAAAGTAAAGTTAATCAGTAAGTACTTTGATACCATTAACTTATTGAAAAACAAACAATTTATGATATTGATTTTGAGGGGTAAAAGGTTCCCATGTCATATCAAAATATGTATATCAGGGTTTAGAAAAAATATTAGGGTTAGAAAAAACACATAAAAGTTTAACGAAAGCTCAAAGATTTACAGCATATCATTCACAAGTTTTGCACAATCGTTCAAGAAGAGAATAAATAACGAAAGTTATAAGCTTTAAAAAAAAATTGCTTCAAATACAAGAGGATTTTTATTATTTTTTACTAGAATCTTTTTGTTATCTATGACCTAGTTAGAAAAAGATAGTTCATGTAGATTTTACATGATGCTCATTGGGTAATAGAATAGAACTAGTTCATGTAGATATTCAATTGGCTAATGTAAGATATTAGAATTGATTAACATCATTGATCAAAAATAAACAATCTTGCACATCAGGTCAATGAAGATGATCAATTGAATGGCACTTCCTAACTGGTGCAGACATAACTTCGTTGGGTATAATTAGAGTTGATTTTGATAAATACTAAAAACATTCATCATATCTCATAATATAATTGTCATAGTGTGCATTCTGGGGATTTCATGGCAGAAAAATAGATAATCTTCTAAACTTCGTTGAGACTCGTGTAAGTCTAGAGTTGACCCATTTTGACTCCTTGGACCTTGAAGCCTCCTCCCATACTATCTAATTTCATATCTTCATTAAGCCACCTTTCCCCTTTCCTCTTGTGTCAAGCTGGTGGGCAGCAGACGTATCTCTTCTACTCCACTTCATCTGGCCTTGGCCGTCCTAGTGACATCAAGCAGTCTTCTTTCTCCAAAGAGAAATCTCTCCTACTCACTTCAGAGTTTGAATTGGTAGAGGAGGGAACAGTCTCTTTCCTGCTATCATATGATTGCTGGGCCTTCTTATAGAGAAGAGCCACTACTGATTTTTTTCAATTTTACCCCTCATTAAGGCCCCACACTATTGTTGGGACATTTATACAATACGCATCCCTTACTCAAGAAGGCTGATTGAAGTGTTACTGTGGGTATGACACCTCATCAATGAGCTCCAAGAACTATTTTTTTTAAGAAATTGTTTCATCTCTGGGCTCGACTGGGTAAAACATAAAATAAGTGATTTCAAGAGCCCTGTTTCGATTGAAACCAGTAAGTTAATATTGATTATTACGACAACAACAACAACAACAGACTGTATTAAACGAGAGAGACAGAGAGAGAAGACTAGGCTGGTCGGCAAGAGAACAAAGGGTGTCGCGGATTGAGGGGGGGAGAAGGGTAGAATTACTTGAATCATATAAGAAAAAGAGGAAGATCGGGGCACTCAGAATGAAAAGGACTCGTTCAATCTCTCATAGGTCCAAGAACCTCGATGAAACGATGTAGAAGTTTACTCCTCGTCGTGCCCCAAGAGTACAAAGGAACGGATCGGAATCCCTAGAGGAGTGGTAGAATGTTTAGGGTTGAACATAAACGTAAAAATGGGAGTTTTAGAAGAAAGGGGGCGGAGGGGAGATGAGCGCGGGCCATCAGAAAATAAGAGGATATCAGCATTACTCCACATCTACGCGAGAGGGTGTCTTAGACGACCGTCGTGAGAGTATAGAATGTTCTCATCAGCTGGCCCGAACCAGATTCGTAGACCGACCTTAGAAGCCATCGACGGAGAAAACGGAGTGGCAGGAAGATGCTTTTGGACGTAGGAACACCGAAGCAGATTCCTAGATCGATCTGAGAAGCCGTTCACAGGAGAAAACCGTACGACAGGGAGAGAATGTTGGGCTGGGGAAACCCTCAGATAATTTTCGCAAGTAGCGGGGGACGAGGAGGTTTCTTTATGTTCTAATCATGGAAATAAATCCGTCGAAAAAAATGATCATCCCCTCGATGTCGGATCTCCACGAGATGATCAGAAAGAAAACAGCGAACGGGAAGAAATTTCCAACCATCAGAACATGAAAATCCTTGCATCGACATAGACACCAGCACAAGCGGGTGTCTCCGATGACCGTCGTGAGATATGCAGGAATTCATTCTCATCACCTGGCATCATTCGACATTCACAAATCAATGCTGCCGCCTCACTAGCCTACTTTCAGGAAGATTGCACCTAAATTTGGAGCAAAGAAGAACAAAGTTGCAGAAAACAATGGAGAAAAACGGGGGCTGGAATGGCAACTATGGGGAACAAAGAAGGGCAGCTGGCCGCGATTCTGCTGCCGGAGGCGACCAAGCAGCTCTGCTCATGCATCTTTCTGAGGATCAAGAAGATGGGCTGTTGCTTAAGTGGTGACGAGTGGAAAGGCCACACCCATCGGAGCACAGCGCCGCCTGCTGGGGAGGAGAAGGAAAGAAGGGCACCATCACTTGTATTTATAGCTAAGATCGACAAACCGATAATTGCATCAATGCCACCACACCCCACATTCAGACCACACATGATAGATGCTTATTTAAACGTTGAACATTGTTGCAGTGTGACAAACAAATATCGTGGCCATCGTTATTTTGCACAATCAAGGTGAAATATTGATAAAATAATCGATATATTATGTGTACTACTTATCATGGTTATCGACGTTATGTTGCATATAGTAAAAGGTGAAATAAGACAAAGGGTATGTCAAAAATAGTAAGAATATGCTAAGACTTTTGTTGAACTCACATATCAACTTCAACTAATCACAAGCACAAAATAATGAAGAAATCTTACAAGAAAGGCCTGGATCATGTGACCGATCTTGCCTTTAAGAGTCAAAAGTTTTGATCATGAAAAATATGTAGAAGGATAATAAAGTAATTCAAAATGTTACCCATTAAGTCTAAATCACAACATATGAAAATAGACGTAGAGAAAATATGCACAGCAGTAAATTGGTCATTAGACATTTCAAAAAAGTGAAACATTTTTTAGATACAAACCTCTATCCTTTGGAAAGATATTTAAAAGTTAAACACCACAAAACATAACGAAATTAAATTTTTTTTATTAAAGCTTGAAACCAAGTGTCGATAGCCAAAATATGGCTCAATTTACAGCTGTTGTATAGGAGACAAAGAGAGAGAGAGAGAGAGAGAGAGAGGGGTGAGAGAACAAGAAGAAAATATGCTATTGGTTGTGTTGAAAGCCTAAAGAGTTTACACTAATGAAGCTATATGCTAAATATAGAAGAATGATAATATGTTCTTAACTTGAAATTGAGTGTTTCATTCCTTAGATCTAATAAATTCAATCTATTCTAGCTCAACATTGATGTTTACTGTAGGTCAACTAAGGTTATAATATTTAAAGAAGGCTAGTTGAAGCCACTACTTTTGTGGCTTCTGATATTTTAAAATCATTTTTTTTAAAACATATTCCTTCATATTTAGAAAATCTAAAGTGGCTTTTTAAATAGTTTCTATTCAATCAATTTATTCACCATCAAGAATAATTGGAAGTAAATAAAAATTTATATATTGAACAAGTTTTCATACCCATCATTTATTTCAACAACTCAAACTAAATCTAATGTACTAATCTTTACTTTCGGTCTGTGGTGATTTTATAAATATTAATATTTCCAATTTTAAAAAAATTGAATGATAATTTTGAGTAGCAAATTGAACAAATTTTTAGGATTGAAAACACAACACAAATAATTTCTTATAATATTTTTTTGACATTTAGCATCATTACTATGTATTATCCGTGAATTTATTCTTAATTAATTTTATGCATATATTTGAGAAGTTATCTATGTGTATTACACAAATAATAAGTAATCATCATAATTCTATCCATTTATTTATCATATTTTTTTGTCATCATCAAAACTCCATATGTTAATTAATGTTCCAACAAGTTTTTTTTTGGGCAATTGTTTTGAATTCGTTTTCTTTTGTTTCTAATTCTATTTTCTTCATTTAAACTTCTATTTGGATGCTTTTTTAATGGATTTATACATAAAACCCACAACTGAACAAAAATAGATTAAAACTAAAGGCTAGATCTTCATTCAATCATTAGTGTGGCAATTAAATATTTATAATACATTTTAATTTTTATTTCTAGTTGTCTACATCAAAATACTTGAAGCAACAAAAGTTGCATCATACGTACAAATATTTTCCTTTTATTGTCATTTTCATGGCAAGGGAGCCTATTGATAGATACTTTGCAAATACTCTTGGATGAGATAACAGCCACTTTGTAATATGTTCTAACTACTATTAAATTTTGAACCAATAGCCCACTCGAGTGATCGTTCCCAGCTCGAGGGTAAAGTTTCAAGCCGCCCATCAGGGCTGGGGGAGCCTTCCTTAGTTTGTGATTACACTGTTGGATTTGTTTCTGTTTAGACCCAACGGAGATTGCTCTCATGGGGAGCCAGCACGGTAACCAGACGAGAAAAGAAGGAAGATTATGGTCAAAACCCGGATCTAAAGATCATCTTCATACGAGTAGTTTACAACGAGGGACGACCTCAGCAGGCAAATACAGATGTGATCATTTCAGAGGAACGTCCGGAACCAAGGCGGCTGAGATCTAATGACCTCACTTGCCCGGGGCAAAGTTGGTGGCGAAGGCCCAGGCGTTGTTGTTGACGGGGTCGGCGAGGTGGTCGGCGAGGTTCTCCAGAGGGCCCTTCCCCGTGACGATGGCCTGCACGAAGAAGCCGAACATGGAGAACATGGCGAGCCTCCCGTTCTTGATCTCCTTCACCTTCAGCTCTGCGAAAGCTTCCGGGTCGTCGGCCAGGCCCAGCGGGTCGAAGCTCCCGCCGGGGTAGAGCGGGTCGGTGACCTCCCCCAGCGGCCCGCCGGCAATGCGGTAGCCCTCGACGGCGCCCATGAGGATAACCTGCGTGGCCCAGATGGCGAGGATGCTCTGAGCATGCACCAGGCTAGGGTTTCCCAGGTAGTCGAGCCCGCCCTCGCTGAAGATCTGAGAGCCGGCCTTGAACCAGACGGCCTCTCCGAACTTGACGCCGTTGCGAGCGAGCAGCTCAGGGAAGACGCAGCCGAGGGCGCCGAGCATGGCCCAGCGGGAGTGGATGACCTCCAGCTCCCGGTTCTTGGCGAAGGTCTCGGGGGCGGCGGAGAGGCCGGCTGTGTCCCAGCCGTAGTCGCCTGGGAACTCGCCGGTCAGGTAGGAGGGAGCCTCGCCGGAGAAGGGGCCGAGGTACTTGACGCGGTCGGGCCCGTACCAGGGGCTGCCGGAGGAGATGGGCTTCGGCTTGGCGGCCGTCTTCCTCATGGTGATTTTGCCCTCGCCGAGGACCTCGGAGGTGGCGGGGGCGAGCTTCACCGCCTGCCCGGCGAAGGAAGGGGAAGAGAGGGCCATGGTGGCTGCCATTTGCACCGGAGAAGGAGGCTGAGCTGAGAAGCGAGCCTGTGAGAATGGGTTGCACTGTCCGAGGTGAGGAGATATAGGTCAGACCCTCTCTCTTAAATACTGAGGAGAATGGAGAGAGTCATATAGGTAGGCTGCTTATCCTGTGATATCTAGTCGGATGCCGCCATTGGTTCGGCAGGCCACCCGTTTGTTAGTTTTACTCACCGGTTGGGCCTAAGCCCCACACATCAAGATATTCTATCTACGTGGCAGGTGGAGGCGTCATGTAAACCACAAATTTAGATACTTCCATCCACGTGGCAGATTGTGCTCCACAAATTTGGATTTTCATACCCGAGGGCACCATAGATGGATGGATTATGGATGGATTATTATAACACTTTAACAATCATTTATTTAGTTTTTTGGAAAATGGATTAGTAAATATTTTAATTTCACATCATAGGACCCTCTCTATAGCACCCATTCAACCTACATTGATGAATAATTATTATTCGATGTTATAAAAGTTTGAAGTCATCAAGGTGACAATGGTAATATAGGTAAGAGGACTTATTAGATATGCCAATGTGATTATTAAAGATATGAAAAACTCTTACGGATATATCGAGAGGCATCTATGATCCAAACTTGTGAATAACCATACGAACTTAAAGTCCTGAAAAATAAACAAATAACTAAAACAGCCAGCCTCAAATAATGTATAGAGTCTTAAGTTTGCTAACCTCAAGTGAGTAATGATATAAAACAAATGGGAGAGTAAATTTAAGCTTTTGGTAGGGGTCATAAATGCAATTGAGCCAACTCTTTTTGTAGGAGGATATATGAGTTGTCCCATTAGACAAAAGTAATATGAGTGAGTCAAGCGACTTGGTTAGGGTAATGTGAGCAGTTTAAACCTCTGCAAATTGTACAATGATTCTAATATTTAATAATGACATGGTTTCAAGCTTAGTCTACTATTCAAAGGACACCTCCCTTGTTTATTACTACCCTCATTGAGCACAAGTTAGATAGGCCTCTACACAACTAGATTCATGGCTTTAGTTGAGTAAACTGTAAATGTCAGATGCTAGCTCATTATTCTAAGTCGGTATTAGAATCATCCATAGTCAATGACCCTCATATAACAAGTGTGTAGAATCAATGTTATACATTTCTGAGATCTACACCTACTGACAAAGAAATCTTGACTCCAATAGAGAAGTGATGGTTTTTTTAGCACAAAAAATGTATTAATGAATTGTTTAATTTATTTGAAATCTTTGTGATAAGTCTTCATTATCATGAATTAATAATTAATAAATAATATAGTTTTAGCCTTAACTTATGATAAATAGACTTATATTTAAAATTGTGAAAAATGGTTTTCAGTTGATTAATGTAATTTTTTGACTAATTATATGATTTTATATAGTTTTATATAATTTTTATAATATTATTTTTGAGATAAATGAAGAAAAAAAAATTAAAATAAAAAAGATAGAAAAAAGAGGGGACCCATTGGCCAATCAGGCGCGCAAGTGGGTCGGAAGCATAATTGGGGTAGAGCCACAAGTAGGGGCTCGAACGACTATGAACCGATGGGGGCACATGTGTGTCACTCTCCTTCTACGTCACTGGTGGCCAGTTAACTATGGGACAAAGAGTACTCATACATATGCGAGAAAGGGACTCATTGCTCTGAATGTGGCATTAGTATATATCCGTCTCAACATTCAGTGTATAACCAATGTCAGACTAAACCGGCGGTCACACTTCTCATAATATTCTAATAATTATAACAAAAAATATCCCTTATTTATAATAACGAGATACTATGATGATGTCACTTTATAAGGCTATTCGAGTACTTATTCACTCACTCTCATACAAGTAGGCGACCCGCATGGGTTCGAATCTTACTAGAGCTAAAATTCATATTTTTATCTAATTAAATCGTGTCATTCCTACAAATCACCAGTAAAGAATTAAGCTATCATAATCGCTCAATCATCGACAAAAATGTCGTCAATACGATTCGCAGAATATTGTTACTAAAATTATTGAACTATTCATGATAAAAAGATCACAAATTCATTGAGTAAATCATCTCTGATTGATCAACAAACAAGTCATCGTCAAAAAGAGGACAATCTACCAAGAGATGAGCCACCTCGTAAGAGTGTGAAAAATATAATGAAGAGCCTCTTCTTGTTGCGTGAACTTGACAATGAAGCTCCCTAACATGCACCTCACATCCATCCAGATCCTCTTTGTTGGGTGACAACCGTTAGAGAGCCGTAAAGTTGTCATTTTTCTGTTCTTTTGGGTGACAACCGCTGGAGACGATTCAATGACTCATTTATTAATCTCTAGACTTTGCAAGAAGATCTAGAGATTGCCCATGTCGTCCTTGTCCATAGAGAGTCTTCGAGGCCATAGACACTGCATGACAATCTTCCTAAATGTTCAGGATTTCGATACATCACCGCCACAACACTAAAACTCTATTTTACTATTTTTTAATTATTTTGACTTCCACCATTATTTTCTAGACTTCGAAGAGAAATCTAACAAATGCCTAAGTCGTCTATGTCCAAAGAGAGCCTTTGAGGTCGTAGACATCATTCAATGACCTTTTCGAACACACAAAATTTCAACAATCACTATTGCGATGCCGAAACTCTGTCTTTCCTACTTCCAACTTAATTTTTGTTTCATTTAATGATAATTTTTATGATTTAAAATTTCCAAACTACTCTTTATTCAATTATGATTCTTTTGACTTTTACAGATCTTAATTTCATTAATTAAATCATCTGTAATTATTTACGTAAGAATCATCATGTGGAACTTTATTTCAGTCTGATTCATGTTCGTTGAGTGCTAACATCATCTTGACACCCACACCCATATTTCCCTTTTTTATGAATTTTAAATATATTTTATTTTTATTTCTTAGTTTAAAATTTATAAAAAATTATATTCTTTGAGAAAAATTCTGAAATATTGTGATTGATCTGAAAACTTTTTATTATTTTTTAAACTTTTATTTAATTATTATTTAATTATTTATTTGAAAATAATTTCAAAATTTTAAAATTTAATATTTTCTAGTTTATAAATTTTAAACTTGAGTGATTTACTATACAATGACTAAGTTATATCACTTTCTAATAGTTATTAGAGCTCTTTAAATGACACAAAAGACAATATTCAAATATGAGCTAATATCTCATTTTGGCAGTTTGGAATAATCATTTCAACAAATCATTTTCAAGACTATATGATCTTCTAGTTTGTTCAATATCTACTTCTCACATAGTTTGTAAATTCCATCATTTGTCTTTTCCTTAAAAGATTGAAGTGTCACAAAATAACTTTGATTCAATCCCAAGACTCTATTATATTTGTTTCATCATTACCAATGAAAAATAGATTAGAATGAAAGGCCATACTCTCCCCACATCTCTATTCTCCCCCATCTTCATCCACCCCTCGTTGTGTGCCTTCTAGGGGTACATTCCCACATTCCTACTCCTGCATGTCCCCTCTTCACATCCCCCCTTGCACTTCTCACAAAAGCCTGCTTGCCTCTACTCACACACATCTACAATAGCCCACCTACATTTAACCTCATCTTCACTCACATTTCCCACTTAAGCCCCATCTAATAAAACCAAGAGTGGTACAATTATCCTCCATGATAAAAGGGTAATATGGTAATATAAAATATTTGAATTATATTACATAGAAAGTATAAATCACAAAAATAAGATTATGTATCAAACCACGTAAAATGTTCTCAAGAGTAAAGTAGTGACTAAAAATCTCAAAATAATCAAATATCTTTTAGAAAAATATTTTCTTAACAAGTATATGCATGCCCATACTCATTAAAAAGATCATTGAAGACACACAAGACCATTAATTTTAAAACAATTAATAGACTAACCAATATTTAAACTTGAATTTGTGTTAATATGATAACAAATGGCTTGGTTTCCAACCATTGTTAAGAACTAGTGAATGTGTTGGTTTTAATGAAGCAACATTATAAAATTATTGAAACACTTTAGTAATTTTTGACTTGTGATTCAATAAGTAAATCTAGATTCTTCATGTGTAATTTTTAATAAACATCATGAACCATCTTATTGCAAGATATTCAGAATAGATGATGGCCCCCAACATAACTAAGAATAAATGAGGATAAGTATCACTTTGTTTACTATTCAATTGATGTGAAGTAAGTTTATACTTTGCTAACTCATAAATATCACAATTTAAATTCTCAACATTTTATTTAGAAAATAAGTTCAGAAACATAATCTTCATCATTTGGAGTGAAGGAAGATTGAGAAAACAATGGTCACCAAAACTTCTCATTGCCAAGATAACAGTTCTAGGTCACAATTTTGAATGAAAGATGCAATTTTGCAATGTATACTTGACCTAATGCTCTAAGGTAGTGAGGTCTTTTGTACTTCTTAGTATGTTCAATTTTTTTATAATCTTATCATGAACATCACATAGATCTCTATTAATGATCATTCCATTTTCTATGTCATCAATTAATTCATTAATAGATATAAGATTTGAGAAAATTTTATAAATATGCAGAAGATTGTTAATTATGTCAAAATATCCATCTTTACATTTGCTATTTCAATCACAATTATTAGTGATCTATTCGTCATGGTTTTTTTCCTACTACATGGACAATAATTATGTGTTAAAAAATAATTTCATCTATTTATACTTGGACAATATAAATGATGTTGAAAAAGAATTACATATGCCTTAACCTCCATGTAAGGATTGAAAAATTACTATCTGAAAGGACTAAAAATTGAGGAACCTCATCAAAGTGGCTTAAAGAGCAAAAGGCCACTACTAATTTCAATTTTTTAATCTTAGATGTTAGCCCTCTATATGTCTTTGTATTTTCGTCTTTAGCGTTGTAGGTATCTCATCCGCTGATTAATTCTAAGGTGAGTTTGACTCTTGTTTGAGGCCTCTCATAGAGCTTCTAATATC